GAAGTTTTGATATATTTGATTCTTAAAAAATATGATTTTGAATAATAATGTAAAACCACGAATATAAATATTACATTCCAAGGTATCTCTTATCCCAAAAGGAAACAACATTTGGTCCTGCATATGCGTTTTATATCTGCAATATTTACTTTAAGCATAGTTTCAGATTATTCACATAAGTACTTGGTACATCATAAAAAAGTCCTCACAACATTACTCCGATAATAAACATCAGAATTTTGTACAAAGAAATGTAACTCTGATACTTTAAAATGTTAAGACGCTAGCTGTATAGTTAGTCATAAGGAAGCATAAAAACACAATCTTTTAAATGTCCCCTAATTCCAGATTTGAAAATATAGATTGTATTTTACCATATTTGTCAACTACAATATTTATCTACTGGAGATACCAGTTGTTAAATTTATTACACAATAATCTTTTGACCTTTTTCTTATATATGTATACTTATTTATTAATAACCAGTTTAGTGCATTATGTATGAAACTGCCCCTTTAATAATAAAAGCATAACTGACCCATTATAGACTAACAGAGCATTAATACAGGGCCATTATGAATAAACAGGGCTATTATGAATAAACAGGGCTATTATGAATAAACAGGGCTTTTATGAATAAACAGGGCTATTATGAATAAACAGGGCCGTTATGAAAAAAACAGGCTATTATGAAAAAAAACAGGGCCATTATGAATATTCAGGGCTATTACGGATTTTCAGTTATTATCAATTCAAATACATTTCTGCGGAAAGGAAACATCAAGTAATTGAAAGTATCCAAGAATCATAACTTATCTTCTTTGACCCAGTTGTCAAGTTAATAAATTGAATTAAATAATATATTCTAAGGTGTGTATCAATTTCTTCAATTTTGAGTTTTAAAATCCAGAAAAAATGTATTTTGTATGCTATAAATTGCTCTGAATAGGACAACAATAAAACTATATTTACATTTACATGTCATTCCATCACATCAATTTAAAAGTTTCTTTATAATATTGCATTTTGTTTACAATTTCTCCACAAAAAAATCTGATTTGGCTTGCTTAGATATCTGATGGTTAGGTTAATAAAAGTGTTAAGAAATCGGTGTTTTCAAATTGACCCTGTTATTTGTCCTCGGTCAGTGATATTAGCCTTGGAGACTGTAATGACACTCGGCGTTGCCTCGTGCCATTTCAGGCATCCTCGACCATTATAACAGACCTTGGACATATAACAGGGCCATTATGAAAACACCCATTAATTAATACTATAGTATAGATAAATGCTCTTTACCTCGTTTTAGGATTACTATACAAGTGAACAAACTGGGTCGATGCCACTGCTGGTGGACGTTTCGTCACCGAGGGTATCACCAGCCCAGTAGTCAGCACTTCGGTGTTGACATGAATATCAATTATATGGTCATTTTTTTAAATTTACTGTTTGCAAAAGTATGTATTATCGAAATACTTAGGATTTTCTTATCCCAGGCATAGATTACCTTAGCCGTATTTGGCAAAACTTTTTGGAATTTTGTGTCCTCAATGCTCTTCAACTTTATACTTGTTTGACTTTCTAACTATTTTGATCTGAGCGTCACTGATGAGTCTTATGTAGACGAAATGCGCGTCTGGCGTATCAAATTATAAGCCTGGTACCTTTGATAACTATTTACATCACTGGGTCAATGCCACTGCTGGTGGACGTTTCGTCCCCGAGGGTATCACCAGCCCAGTAGTCAGCACTTCGGTGTTGACATGAATATCAATTATATGGTCATTTTTATAAATTTACTGTTTGCAAGTGTATGTATTATTCGAAATACTAAGGATTTTCTTATCCCAGGCATAGATTACCTTAGCCGTATTTGGCACAACTGTTTGGAATTTTAGGTCCTCAGTGCTCTTCAACTTTATCCTTGTTTGGCTTTCTAACTATTTTGATCTGAGCGTCACTGATGAGTCTTGATACTATTATACAGATTATTACAGATATACAGGTCAATCGTAATGATCTTGGATTATTTTTATGAACATAGCACAGTTACTACGAAGTTATTTACGTACTTGTTTAAGGCCCTTGGAATCCAACATCGGAGAGGAAAACTTGCTTATTTTTTTTTTTAAATATTTCGACAAATGACACAATTGTTTCAGGTTTTTGTGATACCTCAATAAATCCGTAGAAATTTACGTCCGAGTGTTTATGAACATTTCAACATAATAGTTTTTAGTTCTTTGAATATTTCATCTGACGAGGAGGCTTGATAATGACTCTTCTTGGGTGGTTTTACATTCGAAGACGTGCAGATTTGATTAAGGGCATACAATACAGTTTTGATTCCACGGTGATTATTTTTTCTCCAAAACTTGCATACAAGCTATTTCTCACCTGGGTCATTTTAAAAAAATGTCGAATTTTGAAATTGAAAAATTGATTAAAAGTTACTTATTCAAACAACCCTCTACATAAGCAAATCAAAACAAACAGTACTTATAGAACAACATATTAAAAGATGCAATCTTAATAATGTCATACAAGAATATCTTGAAACATTTTTTGATAGGTGGTACAATATTTTGTCTCTCCTGTTACCATTTTCAAAAGAAATTTTGGGTTATTAAGAAAAGGTTTAGATAAAATTTAAATTAGATGGTTTTCAAGAGAATAAACTTCTATATATATTCATTTTGTGAAATAATAGATTATTTGTCAATTTTCCAGGTTGTACTGAAAAATGCCTCTAAAAATTGGTTTTCAAAGGTTGTAAAAATTACCACCAGTAATGCAAGTCTAAGATAGCAATTCATATTGTTCGGCATTTTTTCTCTCTTTCAAATAAACCCAACATCAAGTAAATCCCTGACATGTTAGTTTACTTTTGTCTTTATTTCATTGGTAACAGGAACGTACGTTAATGATATATCACTATATAAAGTTCTATCCTGTTAACTTTTTGTCTATCCTGTTACCGATATCAGTATTGCACCTGCAAATGCTAAATTGGGAAGATTAAGACGTTATAACCTTAAGATGAGTTCAAACAACGAAAGATTTCATACTGTTTGCAACTATATGGTATGATAAACTTTTTAACGACGTTTCTGTCTACAATTGTCTATCCTGTTACTGTAACCATAGCAACCATAGTAACAGGATAGACAAATTTCTTCATTTTCGAATGCTGTTGTGAAATAACTACTCCCTTTGGTGAAGTGATAATGTTTTTCTGTTGTGAATTTGGTTTCCAACACGTTATTGCACTTTTTACAAGTATACTTTTGGTGTAATTAATCAAAATTGTTGGTAACAGCATAGACATGAAAAAAAGTACCCTCTATTTTTTTTTCACTAAATGTCTTGAAATTTCTTTTCTCTACACTGTCGTTCAAGAAACGTGCTGTGTTAAATGTAAAGGTTACTTTGCACTTTTGAAATCAACACTGACTAATTCAATATTCATAGGGAGAATAATTTAACGGCTGATTTAAGTAGTGGTAACAGGATGGACATGAACTTCATGTACGCGGATTGAATTAAGTTTGTAGATAAAATGTTACATATAATGATAAAGAAGCTACGATTTTTCGTTCGAGTAATTATTAACGTTCTTAAAAAGTCCCTTTTGCAGATATCAAGGCGATCAGAAAATCGGAAAAAAATCATTTGAAATGTGTTTTTCTGAAATTGTACGCACACAAATTACCCAAAAATCGGACTTAAATACATTTTAATCTTACGAAAATAGATGTAAATCGTGTTTATTATTAATGTTCTGAATCATAAATCCTACAAGCTTTCATTTAAACAATTACAACTGAAATTTCCATTAGAAATAAAAAAATTAGCATGGGTGTACTGAAAATTCGACATTTTTTGAAAATGACCCATCTAGTCAATTCAAATATGTAATAAAAAATATATCTTCATGTGCTACTTTTAGAGATTAATGGGGTCGGAATTTTAGACATTTACTCAAAATTTCGTTTTTTTGGACATTTCTATTCTATGGATGTTTTTTTTTCTCCCTGATGAAGGTAACTTTGAGATGAAGAACATCAATAAAATCGCTGTTCTTTTGCTATTCGTGTGTTTTTTGCTGTGCATGTACTGATTTTGTTTCATGGATGGATACCTATATCCTTTGTTTTTTTATTATACTTAATCTTTTTTTCTTAAATTAAACACAAGCGGACTTTTGTAAAAACATTTGAAAAATCTTCTTTATGCTTTAGGCTCTAAATTTGTGAAACAATTCTTTGGAGATTATAAATTTTTATCGAAGATTCATGATTTCAGAGAAAAAAAAACAATTGATGTATATCTATCTAATTGAAACAATTTCATCGGTGATTTTTTCATAAAAATTGATACAAATAATCTTCATGCATAATCAAACGAATTGTCATTTTGAAAATGAGGGGTCAATGTTTTCGTTTCCAAGCTAATTTCAAGCTAAATGATTAAAATCAGTCAAAAAAGGCATCGTTTCCCGAAATGCCACAGCCTGACGACACGAAAAATAATATTTTACGTTAGCAACGTCATTACCTCTTCTGTAACTGTATCGGTTGCCTTAATTTCCGAAGAATTCTTTATTGGACAAGGTTCGTGGATCTAGATAGTGTCTAGGATTCTCAAAATCATATGAGAACATTCAAACTTGCTAAAAAGAGAGAATGTTTTAGGCGATTTATATCTTCTCAATGAACAGGTGTGCTGTGCTATTGTTGGTTTTTGCCTCTTTTGGTTTGATTTTTTAGGTTTATTGATCTTCAACTTTGAATGGAGCATAGTTTTTGAAAAATACATTTTTAACACGCACCAAATTTTTGTCTCATTTAATTTTGTTATAAACTTCTGTGTATCTTGACTACATGTAAACTTACTCTTACATGCTGCATAAATTTTGGCAATATTTTCTTATTTATTTTATGAACACGAGACAGCTGTCTCTGATTTTATTTCACCAGTGATTTAATATTGGAAAAATGTTAAATAAAACCTTTTTCGATACAGAACAAAGCAAACACTCGCCAAATTTATCAACACCAACTTAAACGATTAAGACAAAAAAACCAAGCTGGTGATCCCCATAGCTTTCAAAAGTTGAAAATTTGCACATAATATATAATTCCTCATTTACTTAACAAATTTCTTGGGACCAAATATGAAACTATGAACTTTATTTTACATTTTTTTGATTGGTTACTTCTCTGGATGTTAAATGTGACATATAAACATACATATTTTATAGTCAGATTCCGTTATACGAGTTCTAAATGCATACAAAAAACGGCTAGTTGAATTTCATTAATCCTCAGTTTTTGTAAGAGATTAACTGTCGGTCCCCATCAAATACTACCGCTATTGTTTTGTTCCCCTCAAATCCTACCACTATTTTTTGTCCCCCTCAAATCCTACCGTATTTTTTTAAAACATTTTTTTAATAATTACGAAAAAATTCTTTCGTAAGTCATGAATACAAATTCTACGGAAAAATATTGTTCTTGTCACAAACAAGTAAACGATGTGTGACAGATTAAAAAAAAATGATGTCGTAAAATTGCCGATGAGACAACTCTCCACCAGAGACCAAATGGCATAGAAGTTAACAACTATATGTCACCGTACGGCCTTCAACAATGATTGTATAGTCCATGCAATTTGATTGCGCAAATATGGTTGCTGTATAACAAGTGTTTACAGCGATTCTTACTCGTGTGATCAACTGTCAGTCGTATGTTTAACAAATTCACAACTTTAGTGTACTTTTTTTGATAAGCACATTGTATTGATTTGTCATATAAACTATGATCATATGTATTAATCTTCATCCTATTACCAAAATAGGAAAAAATACAAATACAAAACAAAATAAATTGCATATTTACATGTCTAGTTTTGACAATGATATGTTTCAATATGATAAAATCCTGCAAAAGGGTAATAAACAAAAAAGACTAAAAATTCAAAGAACTTAGCGGTCTAATAAAGTTGTGCATTTAACAATTGAAAACGTGTTTACCAATGCTTCAAAATAATATTAAGATAAAAATTAATCTGCCGTTTTGTTTTTATTTTTCACGTACACAATTTTGGAAAGAATTCAGTGAAAAATTGTAAAAAAAATTAAACCATTGCCACGACGTCAGCTTTTTTCATATACAGTGGTTTCTTTTTCTAGAATCAAGGCTGCCTAAATCTGTCGTTAAAATGGATTCACCAAATTATATTCAATTGTTTCCTTTGTGTGTCTACTTTCATTAGGTTTGAATTGGCTAACTAAGTGTTTTCTGTTCACAAATGGAATTAATTTAATAACTTACCTTTTAACTTTTGTAATTATTATATGCATTCACTGGGAATCGAACCCTTCCTTGCAATATGTTATGTGTTACTGAAATCAACACATCGACGCAACCTCTCGACTATCAATGGGTTACGATTTAGATTTCTATTTTATATATATAAATGAACATATAATACACATTGGTTCAACGGACACACAGAGCTTGTACCTTTATATATACATTATATACAATCGTATAGTATAAGTTAATAGTCGCGAGGTTAAGATCAATGAGTTAAAGAGTCTACTTAGAAGTAGAGACTTGTCGGTTTAGGTTCAAATCCTTGTTTTCTCTTTGTTGTCCCTATTCTTTGATTTTTCAGTTTTTCTTGTTTTGTATGTTATTGTGTATATTTTCTGTAATAATAGCGGGTTTTCCCATTTATTTTTTGGATTATTATTGGCGTATTTGAAAAGAAAATGATTACATTCAATTTGTCCATTTTTGTTTTATAAATATAGTATGATTTCATTTGTTTTACTACATATCTTTACAAATGTTTATTCGCAAATCCATATGCGAGTAAATCGTGATTGGCCTAGAATTTCCTGCTAGAAATTTAGGTAACATACTTACTATATATACTTAGAAATAAGTTCGAATATGTCTTATTTTTGTTACTTACGGATAATATTCAGATGCATAATAATTTAAAGACAGACGTGTTATGTTATGTATTTCTCTAACCAATCAGTTGAGAAGTTATATTGATCAATGCATTGCTGACCCTGATAACATGGTTATTTCAACTCACTTAAAATACCTTATTATTAAGAAAAGGCTTGAATTTTGAAAAGACATCAATACAATAGTTTAAGTTAGAGACACAATGGATAAACATTGATTCATGAAAAACAAACCAGTCACTGAAAAACACAAGAAACAATGAACTTGGTTAGAACGACAAATTTGGTTTCAAAAATCTTTTTCCAAATGACTGTTTGGCGGTACTTGCTTTTCACACACTTCAATGCTATCGCATGTTTGTTCTTCGTCAAAATCCAGTTGAAGGTCACTGATAGTATTTTCTCTAGTGATCCATTTCTCAATCGAAAACATGTTCGAATCTGGTTTCAGACTGCCTTTATCATCAACCGATACAATTTTCCACCTGCAAAAGAAGATAATAACCACCAATGATGAGAAAGTACAATATGATTATCCACGTTTTGATATGGTTGTATTTTTATTTTATTTTTTGGCAAGTGAGGAAAACTTCGTTAAAAGACGCATAATATTAATAAGTGTTACACATTTTAATGAACCATGCGTGTATTTCTATAAATAATATCTCTTCATTGAGGATTTTACAAAAATGTTTACGAAAATAAATGCTTCCCATTCATTTTGTCAGTAGTAAAACAATAAAAAACCAACAGACCATGTTTTTAATTATTTCAGTATTTTTTTTTTAATTATTTTTTGCAAACCTGTGAATTTTGTACTTTATTTTTACCTGACGTTTTAAGCAATATCGAAATCAGAATTTGGCAATTTTATTAAGTATTTGTTAGTTGGTCACTTTATATTTGTATGCTGAATAAGTTTTTTCGCTCAACACTATCTAAGAAAAGTAAATAGTAGTAATACGACCATTGAAATTATGTTTTGATATTCAAACTAGAGGCATTCAAGAGCCTGTGTCGCTCACCTGTATTTACTGATGCTTTGGAAATCATGTAAAATAAGGATAAAATCATAATTTATAGTATTAGATATTAGATATTATAATGATATCTAAGATAATAACAAAAAACTGCAAAATTTCTGTAAAATTACTAACTCAGGGGCAGCAACCAACAAACGGGTTGTCGGATTCGTATGAAAATTTCAGGGCAGATAAATCTAAATCTGATGAACATTTTTGCCACCTGTCAGATTTGCTTTAAATGCTTTAGTTTCAGAGATATAAACCAAAAACTGCATTTTACCCCCATGTTCTATTTTTAATAAGTCGGTCATGATGGTTGGAAGGCGGGGTCATCGGACAAATTTTTTAAACTAGATACCCTTATAATGATTATGGCCAAGTATGGTTAAATTTGTCTCAGTAATTTCAGAGAAGAAGATTTTTGTAGAAGATTACAAAAATTTACGAAAAATTGTAAAAAATTGACTATAAAGGGCAATAACTCCTAAAGGGGTCGACTGACATTTTTGATCATGCGACTTATTTGTATATCTTACTTTGCTGAACATTATTGCTGTTTACAGTTTATCTCTATCTATAATAATATTCAAGATAATAACCAAAAACTGCAAAATTTCCTTAAAATTACCAATTCAGGGCAGCAACCAAACAACAGGTTGTCAGATTTGTTTGAAAATTTCAGGGCAGATAGATCTTGACCTGATAATTAGTTTTATCATATGTCAGATTTACTCTAAATGCTTTGGTTTCAGAGATATAAGCCAAAATCTACATTTTACTCCAATGTTCTATTTTTAGCCATGGCGGCCATCTTGGTTGGTTGGCGGGGTCATCGGACACATTTTTCAAACTAGATACCCTAATGATGATTGTGGCCAAGTTTGGTTAAATTTGGCCCAGTGGTTTCAGAGGAGAAGATTTTTGTAAAAAGCTAACGACGACGACGACGGACGACGGTCGCCAAGTGTTGAGAAAAGCTCACTTGGCCCTTCGGGCCAGGTGAGCTAATAAAAACGAAAGCGCAACATGTCAATAATAAACTTTTAACGTCATGGATGATTGAGAACCTTTTATCATGTCCTCCGTTTTAACGAGCTAACAGTAGATTGTTGTCTTTTTATTTGTTCTTTCTTTGGACCACCGGGTGTAGTGTGTCGCGTTCGTAGAATTAACATTTGTAACATTAGTACCTTTTCCTGTTTATAATAAAAACAATTAAACAGATAGAGCAAATATTAATATTTTTTTATAAAATTTTTAATGATAGAATGTCTTACTTTGAACATTTAAATTTAAAGCAGATTGCACCTATAACCAAGACGACAACAACCACACTAACGGTAGCAGGTACCACAGTAAATAAGATATCTGCAATTAAATTGTCATTTTATAACAAATAAAAAATGCAAGATACTTAAGATAATTAGATAACTGTTACAGTATATTTATCAAAGCACATGGTTTAACAATAATTGTTTATTGTCATGCAAGTATATATATTAATTAATTGTATATTCAGATATCTGCTCTTTTCTATAAGTAAGGTATGGTCACTGATTCTAATTTTTGTAATAAACGTCTAGTTTAAAAATTTGGACATGAAAGATGGAATTCTTGGTTTAACACGCGATATCGTGCAAAGTGTTCAAATTTGATACATCGACTTTTGAGTATAAAAAGTAAAATTCTTGTCAAACATGAAATGCCTGCCTGTCAGATATGAAAATCGTTTCAACTGCAAAATTCATCAATGTTGAGTTCAAGACTAAATATCAAATTTTCAGATGATACATAAGCTGAGTAGTATGTTAACAAAGTTACGGACAGGCAAGTCACTGCAGTATACTACCCACTTCGAAAGCATAGACACCTTTGAACCTGCTTCTTCAATTTTACTGTCTTGAATTTGTATGAAATATTTGCCACTGGTTGCCGAACAAGCAGTAAAACAGGTTTCTTTAAGATATATGTTCTCTGCACCTCTTCTTTTTGATGTTTTATTTCCTTTTTTCTTAGAGTATATATTTTTTTCATGTAGTTGTTAAAAGATTCAATGATCTTAAAAAGGACATTTTTGACACAGCATATGCTTTAACTTGGATACATATTCACTTAATACATTAACATTATACATTGTTTACCGTTATCTTCTGGGGAATCATTCTGAAAATAAAATTACAATCATTAAAAGTATCGTCATAGATAAGCTTCAATGCATGAAGGATTGCGTATGCATTGCAGGAGACAATATACCTGTCAATGCATTGGCTCACTCCCTCACAATACAATACAATATCTCTATTATAATAATCTTTGTAGGTTTATAGGTACACAACCGTACCGTGACCCATAGTTGCTTACATCCACACCATTTAGACTCGGGTTGATAGTTGTCTAATTATCAATCATACCACATCTCCTTTTTATACATAATAAAATAAATTCATCTCCAATGTGACGTGAACGTTGCAAAGAGAACTTTTTTCACCTCCATTTTGTGTTTTAAACAGTTTTAATTATCTTTTAACTAACGTTTACTTTCTTCATATTTTGATCCAAAAAGCGTGATAGTTGTTTGATTAAATCTTAGTTTGTTTTAGACGTTTATTAATACAGATTTACAATTTAAAAAATAACACTTTATAAATTTTGTGCATCCGCAGCACTGTCATCAGAAACGCTTCAAACATACAAATTGTAAGCCAAATATGTATAAATACTTGAAGACAACATTGTATGGATTAGAACTTTTAAATTTTCATTTGTAAATTACTTGAAGGTGAAAAAGTATCATTTGAGCTTCATGTTTTACCTTTATTCAAAACACAAAGAGTCTTTAAATATTGGGATATGTTTTTTTCTGTGCATATATAAATCATGTGATATTGATTATGATTAAACATACCTATTGTAAGTCGATTGTTTTATTTCGTTATAGGAGAGGGCATAACTATGTAGGAATATACAATACTATTGAATGGTTCGTATGAACTATTTAATAAGCCAAACATCACTAAATAAACGGAAAAGGTATGAGCTCTGAAATACATTAGCAGATACTAGTTTACAGATTAGAAAAAGAAACCACGGGAAATGATGAATAGGATGAAGTTAAGACAATTAATCGAATTACAGGATGATAACAACCATTAACTAGTTAAGTTTTAACCTAAAAGATGATTCATCTGATACATTATCAAGTTTGCCCTTTTAAAATAATCTTAATATTTCAAAAGCAGAAGGTCTGAAAGCTTTTATTTTGGTACAATATTATGTAAAGTCTCATCTTCGCTGCCTTCAAATCAAGACGCCATGTTAAAAATTGGTAAACATGCTATCAATTCTGGTTTAGTATTTCTAAATCAATAACAAACCGGCTGAGAGATACAAAGATAATAAAACCCACAAAGAAAAATGTACTTAAAAAAAACCTTTCCTGAAAACGTAGGTGTATACTTTAAGGTATAAGTACCACCTACGATTACTACCATTAGCTGTACGTACGTACCAAGGTTATACAGGTTTTTAAAGTCACATTACATGAATACTTCTGGTCATCGTAAATTACCATACTGATATCATCTCCAAAATTAATGCCATCATATGAAAGACTAATGTCATATCCGTCTGACATTACTGGTCCATTTGTTGATCTTTTCTTTCGTGAAAATGGTAGCTCCAGAGAAACCATGTATAGGTTTCTGTATTCTGCCAAAAACATTTCCTCACCAGGCGTATAGATAACCTCTTTTTGAAAGATCTGCAAATATTGGGTTGAATATTTCAATATTCAACGCTGTTATATATCTTAGATATATTTTTTAATAACAAAACTATCACGCAAATTGTACATTACGTATGTATATGGCGGCTCATATTGATCGCATACAATTGCATGCTTAATGTATGCAGTAGCGACAACATATACTTATGCATTCCTCATATAATTATTTAAGATGCTGTGTCTTGAATAAATCAGAAATAGCAGTAATAATAAGGTTTGTTTGGGTTATAACATTATATCTTACTTATCAAAACTGTAGAATGACTTTTCTACAAAATTGTATTTGTGTAGTTTCTGATTTCATGGTTCATTTATTACTTTTTGTCCAGATTATTACAAATATTTGGATGAAGATATTCAACAAACAAATTTATTGTTCATGATTATAAAGTCGTTTATCGAGCAACGAATAGCAGAAAGTATAGTGATAAGTAATAAATAGTCGTTGATAAATTAAGTTGTTGGTTTTCTCTTTTGAATTACTTTATTTTTTTTTCATTTCGAGGCAGGCTGTAGCTTATTATGCGGCATGAGGTTTGCTTTTTGTAGAAGGCCGTGAGGTTATCTCCAGATGCACAAGACTTAAGTGACCCGTAGTTGATTTTGACATCCCTTTAGAATTATTTTTTTATTTTTAATTGCACTTCAAGAGAGGCAAAAATACCAAATGGATATCTAAACGCATAAGTCGAAGATAACTGGCAACGCCATGGCAATAAACGAAAAACGTCAAAAAGACAAACAACAATCTATACAACACAACATAGAAAACTGAAGTATGAGCATCACAAACCCCACCAAAAACCAGAGGTGAATTCAATGTATGGCAGTTTGCATTTTTGATTAGTTGGTTTCCACCACTACTGGTGAGAAATAGATTGTCCAATGCGCATGTTACTCTTATGTGCAGTTCTATATTTGACGTTCGAGGACCTCAAAGTTAGAGTCAAGACAAAACATAGCAATTTAAGGTATGTTGTCATGCATGATTGGGGTTTTCTTATTATTTTTAATTCTTTCACTTTTAATTTCTTCTTAATAATCAAATTCATTTTTCAATGCAATGAATTTGTGCTTCAAATTAAAGCAATCTGAAAAAAATAGTTTCGTGGTAAGCTTTTAAAATTTTATTTAAGTACAACGAGAGATCAAGATAAGTCAAAATGAATAATTTGCACCAAACAATATAAATAAAAAACTGAAAATGATGTTGATTGTACCAACTACCAAGCAATAAAATGAATACCTGAAAATATTTTATCTTGCACCAAACAGTACTTGACAAAAAATCCCCTAAAATGTTTGTTGACTTGCAAGATCTAGTTCTGAGTTTACATAAACCATCAAAAGGTAGACTTGTATCACTAGGTGGTACTGATATATTATAAGAACAGTCTTCACCAATAAACTCTCTGTCACATGTGCAAACTCCTGAAAGTACATTGTTAAATAAAGCCGCCAAGAAGAACATATGCTGCCACAATAAGTAGCGTTAAGTTTTAGAGTTACTAGTTTTCATACATTAGAACTTATCATCTTTTCTGAGTGTATATAGAATTGCAGCACATAATATTCCAGACCCGTTTATGTCCTTTATGAATAAAAGGTTATCGACATTCTTAAATGCATTCTTCTATCAATAAGTTTTGCAGATGTATATGAAGTCGTCATAAGCCTCTGAACTTATTTATTATGTTTAATTTAAAAAAAACTTGAGGTTAGTCGTAGAAGTATTAGGAGAGTCTTTGGTTTTGTAGTTAGAGAAGCATATCTCTGTGCTTATAGCTTTTTCCTATGTAAGCTATCGAGTTTTATTAGTTTTTCCTTTTTTGTTTTTGAGAATATATTGCAGTAACCACCATCCTTTGTGACGTGTTTGTTATACAACCAAGAAATTGTACTAATTGTGACTTTAAAAACATTTTCGATGAAAACTTGATTATTTGAATCTACTTTTTATTAATTTATTTATTTGATTTCATATTTATTCACAGCTCTTGGACACAAAAGTATTTTTTGCACTTATCTTGCCTCACAAACTGAATACATCAAAATAGATATGAATATCATACACATGGAGTGTTTATGTCGAGTTGTTATTCCGATGCGTTCTACCGATGCTGCTTACTTGACAAATTAACAAAATTGTTTTCAATATTTCTGTGCAAACAGCAACTGATTGGAAATGGTTAACGTAGTTAATTTCTCAATAAAGTTTGCGTAAAACAGTATTAACAAAAATATCTAACTCCAAGGTAAATTCAAAAAGGGGAAAGTCCTTAAAACCTGACAAAATCAAAAGTTAGACAATATAAACCAACGGCACGAATAGAAAACAACTGTCATATTCCTGACTTGGTACAGGCATTTTCCGATGAAAATGGTTCGTAATAATACCAAAAGTTTAAGTGGGTTATACCTGGTTTTATAGCTAGCTAGACCCTCCACTTGTATGACGGTTGTGTAAAGTTCAGTTATATTAACAAAATTGGATGAGCAACCCAAACAGACATAATTTGTTAATGTGAATCTAGCAGACAAAACTGTGTTAACATACATCACATATATTCAACACAATTGACTAAAAAATTACAACAAACACAAATAAATATGACAAAGACGCCAACAAAAAAGTTATTGATTCAGAAGTTGATAGTTAATCTGAGAAAGACTTCAACAAAAAAAGTGTAGTTGGTCGTACATACAATATTACACCGTACTAGTATACACTTTCCAGATAAAAAAAGTGTCATTTTGTTGCGTTATTATTTTTACAGATACTTTATGTCTTTAAACAATTTCTCCATTATAATGCCCAAACGCGAATTATATCCTTGTCTATGTTCTTTCTGTATAGGAAATTCTTCTTTCACATACAAGTTTTGTAATAATATTTGTCCACTGTTAGCTAAATGTCCGTTATTCATGTACACCCATTAAAATAAGGATATTTATTTTCAGTCTTGACGTTTTATTATAGAAACACGTCTCGTGATAGTCGGTATCATTTGTGTTGAATCAATAATTGCAAGTTTACCTGATTTGCATTTTCCATGGCTACTACAGTGATTTGGACAGAGAAAACCTGTAGCATATTCTAATAATGTTTCTGATCCTTGCTTTGTCAAATAAAGCTTCTCCGTTTTCACTAGCTCTGTCATGATGAATGTTATCATGGCATTAATAGTGTCTTGAAGAAACGTCGTGTCTCCTGTCAGCTATATGTATTTAAAAAAAAAACGACCATTACAAGAATTATTTTATTGTATAAATATTTTTTTTCTCAAAAATCTGTTTTGTTTAGTTGTTTAATACCAGAAAAATATTATCTATTGCTAAGACATTTTCAATATACCATATTTCACATATCATTTTAACTATCTCGAATAATTTTACATTTTTCAAATCAACTGTCTCAAAAGAACAGCCAAACTAATTAGCTCTTGTGTGATGCAGTCATTAGAACTGAGGACATATGCAGATAATCTTCCTGTTTTTTTTCTTCAATTTTTTGTAATAACACGTTTTGTGATCCATTCATAACATGGCCTCTTTTCCTCGAATGTGACCTACCGAATAAGACTTATTACCTGGTTTGTACTTTCATGAGCAACACGACAGATGCTACATGTCAAGCAGGATCTCCTTACCTTTCAGAGCACCCGAGATTACCACTAGTAAAAGGGGTTCGTGATGCTCTTGCTTTAGTTATAAGTGTTGTCTTCCTGTTAATTTTTTATTTTTCAATGTATGTGTTGTTTATAAAGGTAACAGTGTCATATATTCTTTGTCATGAATAACGTGTTTATATGTCAAATTTTTACATTCGGTCAAGTTTCAGGATAAGAACATATACTTGTCCGATGGTTTATTGATTTGGTTATGTCTTAGGGCTAGGTAAGATTCAATATCAAATCCGCTATTGTGTGGTGTCTAATCACTTGATATAACTTATCAATGTATTTTACAGGAGTAATACGATGAGTGTCGCATGTGCAACAGGATCTGCTCATCCTTCCGTAGAACCTGAGACCACCCCCAGTTTTTGGTGGGGTTCGTGCCCAGTCTTTAGTTTTCAATGTTGTGTTTTGTATACTTTTGTCTTTTGGTCTTTTTGCTATGGCGTTGTCAGTTTATTTTCGACGTATTAGTTTGAGTATCTCTTTTGTTTTCCTCTTATAGTTGATGTGTTTCCATCGGTTTTAGTTTGTTACCCGGATTTGTTTTTCTCAATTGATTTATGACTTTTGAACAGCGGTATACTACTGTTGCCTTTATTTTATACATTTCGCCTCTCTGTTATTACAAACATTTAATTTGATTCAATGATTATTAAGATACTGATTCATATAAAAACCGTATCAACACCGGCAAATGCTTATGTTATCTTTCAAATTAGGCTTAAATTGAAAATATACGATGTTAATGTTTAATATAAAATAATAAAGTAGCAACTATTAATCCTGCGTGCTTTATATCTAACAATAATGTCTGGCTTGGAAAAAACTTCAAGGTAAACTGTTAATTTTTTATATATATAACTTACCTCTATATCACTGACGCATGATTTTATATAACTATTTACAGGGACATCTACATATGTGCTGTAAACATTTTCCGGAACAACATTTTTAATACTGTCATAACATGTCTGGTAAGCTTTTTCTGCTGTCCAACCGTTTCTAAATGTTTTTGGGGGCTATAAATAAAAAAATATATACGACCTTAAGGAGATAAACTTTAACAAACAGCTTAAAGTCATATGAAATGGTTCCTTTTAATAATAGTGCTAAGGAAAGTTTGAACCAATGCATGCCTATGTACTAATCTAAGTCCTCTATGCACGATTTTTAGATTTATTTCGAATCCATAACATATAATCGATCTTAACACATCTTTCAATCTGTGAAATCTTTGCCTGCTAATTTACTTTCGGATTTAATTGTCGAAGCTTACCGATCGTGACCTCAATAAACAATCAACACAGAATCAAAGAGCATGTGAGAATTAAGTGAGATGTAAGACATGCAATAAAGCGATGTTTATGGTTTTTTTTTATATTTTCCATGCGTTTTCATCTGTTAATTAAACTTTGTTATGACAGTTGTTAAATGAATTGTTGGATTCAAATTTTCTTTCAGAATCAAATACACTATCTAACTTTTTCATTTGTTTACTTATTCTTTCATCACGGTTTTTTCCTCGCATTTGCACTGTGCGGTTGTCCAAGTTATAATGAGAAACAGAAAAGCTATCGGCGACTTAGAGTATGGGAAGACAATAATTCAATAGCTATACATTTCTGACGATTTTGATAGGATACAGAATTTTCTTTAAAAAGAAACTCAATGTACTCGTGTTTTTTAGTAAATCTTAGCAATTCAAGTATATAAAACATATTCAACTTTTTTTAATTTTCAAATATCAAATGACTTTAACCTCGTGGTAAATTTTATCATTAATTTGTTTTCCAAAACTTCCTTTATCGAATGATCGTTATTCGGAAACACTGTAATCGGAATCCAAAAACATTTAAAAATGATGAAAAGTGGGTCGATAGCACTGCTGATGGACGTTTTATCCCCGAGGATATCAACAGCCCAATAGTCAGCACTTTTTTGTTGACATAAAATATCATTGAGATGTTGATTTTCTGTAAATTTACTCTTTATAAAAAGTTGAATTATTCCAGACACATGTCTGTTTATTCCTATTTATAGATTGCATAAGCCGTATTTGGCACAACTTTTCTGAATTTTCGGTTTAAATGCTCTTCGACTTCGTATATGATTTTGGCATTCTCACTGTTGTGTTTGGAGTGCCTCTGAAGAGTCTCGTGTAGAAGAACCGGGCGTTTCGCGTATGATCCTGGTATCTATAAAGCGTTTTTGTAAGCCATAATATAGAATACAGAACAAGAGTTTGGAAAAAGCTACTGTCCTGAGCACTAAGTTTACTATTGTTCGACAATAAGTAAGGAACAAATATTCCCTATGGTAAACAAGTTAGAAGCATTAGACATTTCTTATTTCATGGTATTTCTTAATTTATTGCGGAACTAGGTTGATCGTCTCCCCTTTCATGTGACAATACCCAATGAATTCCTGTCTGATTTGCGTGTCTATGCTGTATCCATGGGGATGAATAGAAGTGAAGTAATAAACAAACATGGGATTGAATATAAGTGGAATAGCAGAAAAACCAAGTCAGACCTGGTGCTTCGACTGGATAAGTATCCCTTGCTGTATGTTTATCCTTCGCCACACGATTGTAAAGTCAGATTCAGTAATAGGTGTCAAAGTAATATTGATGAACCGGTAATAATGTTATAATAGAGATTTCCAATAAAATGACATACGTACCTAACTCGACGTACGCACGTAACGGGACCGGTTATTGCTAACCTACTAATTTTGTTAAATGCGTCATTCAAGTTTTAACTCAGTATTCCTAAACTATAAAACCCATTCAGGATAAATTTTATCAATATCAAGTATTTCTAAGATGATGAAAAACGAAAGAAATCATCATTTTTATATATCACGTGATTATTGAGATTCCCGCCAAAACTTCACTGTCATAAGACCACGTATATACACGTATCTTTACCTATCATACGATTGATTTGAGTTGTCTTTCATGGTTTTGACCATGACTTTGTTTTTGATATACTTTGCAAATGAACCTTTTATTATTTAATATTTGACATGCTTTTATTTGTCGTTATCAGATTGGTGTCCCTTTTTCCTTTCGTCCCTCAATGTTTTATAATATTTAAATCTTGGGTATTTATTATATGACAGAGATTTTTCTAGCAATTTCAGAAATATCGAATTCAAAGTGTTAGTCAGAATTTGTCTCTGTTAAAGTTGATAACTGGGATTGCATCATACTTTATTAAGCATCATTTCAAACGTTCTCTTCTTCTGCAGTTAATCTTGTTTATTTACAATCTCCGATTTTTTTCTAATTGGCTAAAAAAATGTCCTGTCCCAGGTATCTCTGATTAAAAGTAGACGAGAATGCCAATGTATATACTTGTTACACTTTTAAGACAACTATATTGCCACTTCAGTCTTAACGTAATTTTCTTTTTAAAATGTACTTTTAATAAGTAAGGTTTGATATTGTCATAGTTGTTTTTGGATTAAGACAATTCTTACTAATCCAATTAGAAGTGGATTCTAAAACTATCACATATTGATTGAGTTAAGCAAAAATTTTTAGTTTCAATTGTTGTCTCGCATTAGAGGTATATATTTATACATAAAAGTTAAACTCTACGACATATCCATGCATATGATCACCATTGAAGGTGATACACGGCTGAAAACACATTTTATATCAATAATTACTTTGAATATGTATATATGTGTAAACCAAGCTCTCTGAAGGAAGGTTTTTACAGGTTGTTCTTATGTTGTGCTGTTGCACCATTGTCCCAGGCGGTGTCATCCTGGTTTGCCCACTTTTAATTACATGCATATGTAAACATAGGGGGAATTGTTGTTTTAACAATTATAGTTTATTTCTGAATTATAGTCATATTTTTTACCTTTTATTTTACCTGAATAATTTTATAAAAGATACTGTATTCTGCTATTAAATCAAGGAAAATGTGCAAAAATAATTTATATTTGATTTAGTTTATAGCAGGAAAATGTATTGAATTTGACAAATAGACAAAAATGTTTATTATTTGTACAATTAATCACAAATAGTTTTAATTGTTGGTATATTCTGGAAAAAAGTAAAAAAACTAAAGATAAGAATAAATGTCATTTAAATTTCTTTTTATTTATTCAACTTAATTTTTTTTATAATTTACACTGTTCTGAAATTTGATATAAAAAAATCCAATTATTTCTAAAAAATAGAATATAAATGCAACTTTTCAGTAGCCGTTTTTTATAGAACCACTACTACATAGAAGGACCCCGCACTACCAATCACCTGGAAGGATGGCACAACAAAATTGAGAAGCGACTCCAACATGCCAATCCCAACATCTTCGAAATCATTGAGTTACTAAAGAAGACCCAGGCCCTAACAGAATGTTATATTATCCAGTATGCAGGCGGAGGAGCACACCCACCAAAAAGACGAAGATACAGAAAAATAGACACCAGACTCAAACTGCTGAAAGACAGATACCAAAAAAAGACTCGGGGATCAGTGTAATAGACTACTCTGACGTAGCAACACATCTTCTCCATTTGAACTGAACAACTTAGTGAAATATTGTAATTTGTGACTTTGTGAATAGAATAATTTGTGACTTTTGATTATATTTCCCATCATTATACGTAGAGTGCCTCATATTACCTATTTTACCCTAGTGCTTTATTCATTTCCTTTTGTATGCAATGCATTTATAAACTTGATTCATATATTATATAAATTATGTTTTCAATAAAAGAGAACTTATATTGGTGTATTTAAATCATTAAAATCAGTCAGAAACTATTGAATTATTAAGACACTTTTATAACTGCATGTCATTGTTTTTTACATGTATGTTAAATGATTCGATTGAAATGATATTAAGTTATTGAGAGAAAATTTTTTTGATTTATTTATTATTTTTCTATACAAATGAAAATGGAATTACAAAATAAAAAATACCTGAATATATAGAATGATCTTCAATGTATATACCTAAGTTGGAACAGACTATACAAATGTATGCTCATTAAACCTTTTGTCTTTTTTGTTTTCTTTACTAATAGATAATTGGTATAATTAAATGTGGGGAAACCAGGAGTAAACCGTCCCAGGCTTAGGGGGTTGGGGTTGAGCACTCATTCTTTATGTGCCTGTCCCATGTCAGGAGCCTGTGGTTCACTTGTTGTCGTTTGTTCATATCTGTTTATTTGTTTTTCGTAACTTGTTTTGTTTTAAATCAGACCGGTAGTTTTCTCAATTGAATTTTTTCATATTTTTTAAGTTGGTTCCTTTTATAGTCGACTATACGGTATGGATTTTTCTCATTGATGAAGGCCGTACGGTTGCCTATCATTGCTTACATCAACTTCATTTCTTATTGGCAATCATACCATATCTCCTTATTCTTTTTGTTTCTTTTTAAATAAATACGTTTAATATTCTCAGGTAATTTACCATTTAAGAATCAGCTTTCAGTACCTGGGGGTACTTTAAGATCGGTACTCTGTGTCTTTCATCATAAAAATGTAATTGTTTTGGGCTTAATTCAATATTGATAAGTTGAGCTATTTCCAACTGAATTTTACAGGTTTTTTTTCTTATATTGTGCTGTTACACCAGAGTGTTGAACGCTGGTAAACGCATTTAATCAAGTCAAATTCTATATAGGCTTTCCCAAGTCAGATGCTTTCAATTTAGTGGATGTCGTTGGTTACTTTCTGTCATTTTTGTGTTAATTTTACTCTTGTAAAATTGTTTATTTTCGTTTGAAAAGTTTACATTTTTCAAAGTCAATGCCTTATATACTAGTATCTGATAATACGGTATGAGTATTTGCTTATTGTTGACGACTGTAGTCGTAATTCACACCATTTGGACTCTGTTTGATAGTTTGACCCAGGAGTGTAAGGAATAAATCGAAAAAAGAATGCATGCTAAGCATACTAATGCTTTTGAAGAGAAAATTGAAAATATTTGTTGAACGGACAGACTGGCGGACGGACAGACAGGGTGATTGTAATATGAGTGCGGGTACAATATTTTGTCAGTGTATGTATCTTAGATGCTAGTGGGAAGGAAGAATGGATCAAAACGGGGTAATCTTTACTTGTTAAAAAATATTTTTTACTATTTAGAATAATTATTGCATGCCTACTGGATATTAGTACAATAGCAAGTCACAAGGATAATGAAGCTGTGAAACACCATTTTACAATAAAAACTAAGCTTTTTGATACAAAGAAACAAGGAGAAAAATCAAACAAATTATGCAACAATAAGTGATATCAAAACAAAACAAGTGTTGCTAGAATAATAATATATGCACTTACAGCATAAAATATATAAACAGGTTTTTATTAAATATGGAATTGACTGGTAGCAGACCTGCCTCGATTACGGGTTCAATTATTTGGTTGAACAATTCGATCCAGCGAATCGCTATCATTTCATCATCCTTAATATATATGTAATATTTGTCGCTGGATATAAGACATACATCAGTATCATCATCATCATAAATATTATAGCTGGAGGCTTAATCTTCGTCGTATTTATTATAGCTTGTGAGTTTTATAGCTTGAGGCTAAATTCTTATCTGATATTTTAGCCAATTTAAGTCAAGAACTTATTTTATGCATGCATCTCTTTGCTACATGATTTTTATAAATGTCCAAGTTAAAGCCAATAGAGATCATAGAAGTATGTTTATCAAATGATCATGTCTACTCATAAATAAAACAGTAAAAAAGGGATTGACTCGTCCGACTAAAACGAAGCACAAAAACAGCAATTACTAGTATTTCAAAATAAACTCCATGTACCGATCTTAGAGTATTCACAGCTACTGAACACTATCTTAAAAACAACTACAACTAATAAATACAGAATAATTATCCAGTCTAGAATATTAATCAATTATTTCGTACTGTTATACCACTGTCCCAGGAAAGTGGGCCCGTTAACATGTTTAACTCCGCCACATTATGTATGGCGGTGACTGTCCCAAGTAAGGAGCCTGTAATTCAGTGGTTATCATTTGTTGCTGTGCTTTCGTTCATTTTTTGTACATTAATTAGGCCGTTAGTTTTATGGTTTTTGTTGTTTTACATTTGTCATTTTGTGGCCTCTTATAGCTGAGTATTCGGTATGGGCTTTGCTCATTGTTGAAGGTCGTACGGTGGCCTATAGTTGTTAATTTTTGTGTCATTTGGTCTCTTGTGAAGAGTTGTCTCATTGGTAATCATACTTCATCTTCTTTTTTGTACATATCACAAATTAAGTAAAAAAGTACATAAACACTAGAAAAGCAAGACCTTATGTCATGTCAAAAGCACAGAGTGTCTGTAGGACCATTAGTGTTCATAACTGTACAGCAGATTATATGTAGTTTCTATAAAATGTAATGATAATTTATCAGATAAAGATACATGATTATTTTTTAGTGGGATTATATATAATTAAATAAATGAATATTTATATTAAAAAAAAACATCAGAAACAAGAATATGTGTCCATTAGATTACACGCCAGTATCACATTTCCGTGTTAAGTGTGCTCAAAATCCAGGAAAAAATCCAATTCAGTATGTAATCCTAAACTTTTAAAACTCGTGCGAGATGTCTAATGTTCAAACATTGTTGTTTTTAAAACGTATTTATCAAAGTCAAACGACAATCATTTAATTTTTTTTTGTGCTATAAAATTTGTGATTATGGCCGGATCCAAGATATTTGAAAGAGGGCGTAGTTCCCGATGATTGAATTTATACTGCCGAGCGAAGCAACGCGAAAAAATATTGGACGATTTTATACTAAACATTTGTATAGATAACGTGGAAAATGTGAGATGTTCAAAATTACTTGGCGATCGAAAGGGGGAGTACGCCCTCTACCCCTGTATCTGCGAATGCACGTTTAGGTATACATGATCAAAACCTCGTCCCATGCATTATTATAGTTAAAGACTAAAAAGTACTTTTTGATAAATGTATCAATGATATGAATTTCTGCCCACGTCAAATTATCTTGAATAAAATTATAGAAAAATAATTATTTTTAAAAGTTAGTCGCGTACACCTTTTACATTCGGGTGTGTGTTGGAATCCACTTTTTAAACGTTAAAACTTATAAAAACAAAAAAAGAGATAACCTTCTCGCTTCGGATTTCATTATTTCAATATTTTCATGCTAAATGTTTACTTGGTAGTTTTTAAGATTCATTTGTTGAGAAGAACTGAAATATGGGTCAAGTGAAATGACAAGAAATGATGGGTATATTTGATTATAAGTTGCTAGCTTATTTATTCCATTAAAATATTTTTGTCAATAAAATCATTAAACATTTAATAACAAAATATTTAAAGATTAAAAAAAGTAGTTGGGGTTGATCTTTACATTAAGTTTATATCAGCTAAAAATGCGTGTTCAAAGAGCAAAAAATGCATGCAGTGTATGCTCCCCTCCGTCATGCTTCGATGCAATAGGACGATATACGTTGAGTTAGGTCGGTTATGTCGAGTAAAGTCATTTTATTGGAAATCTCTACTAGATGGACATGTTAAAATATGATATAGTTGGAATATAACAAGAGAGTCAGTTCAGAAATTCAGAAACTTTAGCGAACAACCAATTCATGATAATTGTATGAAGTGATAATGTCTGTTGTATCTATCTAAAAACATTTTTCTTTACATGTTAACTGTCACGTTGACAATAAGCTCTAGCATATCATTCTACTGCATGAACAAACATTTGAACTATAGGTCTGTTTACATGTAATTGATATATAAACCTTGTATATATTTTTTTCTTTGTGTTATTGTTCCGTGTTTGTTTCATAATAGTTTAATGTTTGGATGTTACGCCATTAAAAGTGTTTTCTTCTCATGAGACACGTAAAACATTGTCGGCTTGGGCACATGATATGTTTCTAATCAAGAATCGGGAGATAACAATATAGAAAACTGAAATCATCGCGTTTGTCATAGATTCTAACTTGCAATTGTCCACAAGGATAGAGATATCTTACATAAATAGACTTTATCAATGCGGTAACTTTTATTTAAAGTTCCCAAGGATAAATTAGATGTAAGTAATCACGATTTTTTTAATTGAAGGACATCATTGTTATATCTAAACGTGAAATTAAATAATTTTTCTTTATTTTAGTACATTATAAAAAAAATTGGGACAGTTTGTTGGTACATTTATTTATACCCTACATACTTCAATTCCCGTGTTATTTACGTCTTCGTCGTATGTTAAAGAGTCGAAATCAACACTATCATCATTTTCATCTACACTTCGTCTTCTTCTTTGATTTGCGAAGTTCAAAGATCGTTTCTGCCTAAATGACTGCGAGCAAGATGCGTAATGAACCTTCCCATCACTAGAACCAGCCGATTCGGAGCACTGTTCTGTGCTTTCTGTTAAGTTGCAATGCAGTGTATAAAAGTCGTCAACAGAGTCAGTACTACTTGCTTGGTCTTTACAGGCACAAAATCGTCCTATGTGAGTATTGCTTTCAGTATTGTCTACCACAACAATAGAATATCCATCTTGTTTTCCTCTTTCGAATTGTGGATGCTCAGCGAATAGCTGTTCATTTATCATTTCAGGACTTATTCTGTTAAATATAAAGTTACAATTATTATAAGCATTACAAATTACGTAGAATATTGGCATAAATAAACTCATCATAGATACCAGGATTAAAATTTTGTATTTGTGCCAGACGCGCGTTTCGCCTACAAAAGACTCATCAGTGACGTTCGAATCAAAAAAGGTTAAAAAGGCCAAATAAAGTACGAAGATAAAGAGCATTGAGGACCAGAAATTCCTAAAAGTTTGCAAAATAACTGCACCTAATGCATATCAAACATGTTCCAAATAAGCATAGCAGTCATTTATACAGATTAAAAGTTTTGCCAAATCTAATCTTTAAACGTCTAAGATCCCAATTTAACTGAACGTACAAAATATAACGATCTTCTTAATCTAGTTTACCTTGGCCAAAATTGTCTTTATAACAATTTTACTGTACTGTGTATGCCTTTTAATTTTTGTTATGATGCATAAGATTTTTTGATTTTGGTTTTTCAAACCGTTGGTCGGATGTGGATATGAAGGTATCTTATTCCAGAAACATGTGTGGAGTGTATTGAAATCTGTATCATATTTTTCAAATTAAATTTATGATAATTTAACCAGCACAATACATTTTCTTAAATTGAACTCGCGTATGTAGCAAATGAATAAAAAGTTCTAGGTTGTTAGAGATTCATGAAATCCCTACGCCTCAGTAACATTCAGAAGTGAATCAACAGCTTCTAAGGTTAGACACCAATCAAATACTAGTATCCAGTAGTGAAAATGTTCAGAAACGTCTATACCGCTGTTGGTGGACTGCTTCTCTTCCGAGTGTATCTTCAGCTCGATAGTTAGTATTTCGGTACTTACACGATCAACCGCTTTATCCGTCGACAAATTATGAAATATTGATAAACTACTGCTCATACTCCCTGAGGCAAAGTTGATCTTAGATTTATTTGGCTATTTTTTATGTCCTTTTTCGTCCTTAAGCCCCTAATGTTTCTATGTATTTATATATACATGGATTTCAAATGTTTAGGTTTGAGCCTTCCTGGTGAAGGTAAATTCAAAAATCGCATTGGACGCACGAAAATTTATTTTTCAATAATCCGATTCATTTTTTGCTTAAAACAATATTTATAAAATGTGGATAATTAATGCTATTGAAATAAATGTAGGTCTAATTCAAAAACGTCTTTTGTACTGATAGTTGTTTTAAACTTTCAGTTGTCTTTAAGAAAAAATCATCATACATAGAAACAAATATAGCACATGTGTAATAAATAGGCCTCAGAAGTAAAAATTTATAAGTGTGGAATTTAGTTTTTGGAAATATACTTGGTATTATAAGATGGTTCGATGAGGCCTCTGGTGAATTTAAAAACTCACAGAGAAAGAACCAAATGAAAGGGAAAATGTACTGAAAACCAAGTAAGTTAACGCCGAAAATAGAAATAATAAAAATGTAAGCAACACAACCGACACAAGTAATTGTAAATAATTCTCAGTACAACTATCAAAAACCCAGCTATTATTTAAAAGTTAGTTATAATACGAGTGAATATGACCACACATTGTATTTATAAATAAGTTATTTTGCTTTTGCTTCAATCTTTGGATAAAAATATACCTCCAAGAATCTGCAAATAGTTGGTCATTGCTAATTGGTCCGTCAGCACGATGTGTGAAATCATCCGATGAATCTTTATATTTACTGGGAACTCCACATAATCCTTTTGCGGTTTGTATATCATACACGGATGGTTTGATCGAAATAAGACTTATTAAACGTCTTGACATTTCAAACCTTATTTCTGTTCCAATTGGCAAGGTTACCTTAATAAATAATTGTTACTTGTGTTGTTCATAAATCTATCTTAATAAAAGCACAACAGATCATAAAAGACAGGATGAATATATAAACGAAGCTGTTACTTTAAAGTGTAACCAAACTTAATTACATTTTATTTGATGTATTGTTAAAAAAAAGTATAATTGCCAATATGTTTTATATATTTCTGAATTTGAATCTAAAGATCTTTATTCATATAGAGCAAAATGATCTGAATTGTGCCATTTATTATGTTTAACATTTCAGAAAGCGATAACTTTTTACAAAGTGAAAATTGAACTATTGAATTATTACATAAAATACCGAAGCTTAAATCAAAATGTAATAAAAGAGAGGCGAAAGATAACAAAGGGACATTCAAACTCATAAGTCGAAAATAAACTGACAACGCCATGGCTAAAAAAGAAAAAAAGACAAACAGACAAACAATAGTACACAAACCACAACATAGAGAATGAAATAATGATATCTGACATTTCTCTATGATAAACATTGAATCATATTGGCGTAATTAAAATGGTTTGCTACTCTTCTAATAAATAAATCAAGAGTTTAGGACTAAAGGACTCAAAGTGGATAAAAACTGATATTTATTATTTTTTCAATTTCACGTTTATTTTGGTTAAATTTTGTATTTGAGGGTGTTTGGGCATTTAGATTTCCTTCATACTTTTATCATTATCTCAGCCGCTTACATCTCTCTGTACATAATGATATATATATAGTATAATAATGTTCTTAAAAAGAATCTTAGATTTATCTAAATAACCTTATATTTATTGCCGGTGTTTTCGACCAGTATGTCTTTTTCATCACAAGTATTAAGGGTAACCAATGGCTGTCGAAGCAAATGCTTTTCACGTCTTGAAATCTTTTTGCAAGTCCTTAGAACAAATAATGAGTCATGGCTTCTAATTGCAATTCCGCAAAGACACGACGAGCCGGGCCATCCGAATCCGCAGCTAGTGAATAACGCATGTACCTGAAATGCAAAGATTGCATTAGTGATATTGAAATTAATTTACTAGTAAGTAGCAATGGATATTTAAAAATCAATTCATAAAGTTATAACCTTAAGAGCATACGGTTTTTGAATATCATATTATTATTTTTTCTTGCAAATAATTTCGTTAGACTGTAAGAGTGTCATCTATTTATTTTTTTATGTCGTGTTAAGTATATTAAAATAATAATATTAACATGAATCAACATGATTCTCGTTACTTTTGTCCATAGAAAAATCATACTTCAATGGTGTTATATGGAGTTTCAGTGATTCTTCTCATCTTGGAAAAATAAATAAAGTAACCTTTTTCTGTAAATTTTATGTACATGTTGGTTTTTCTATTTTAGTTCTTAAGAGGTAGAGTACTGATAAAATGATACAGAATAGTAACTACGTACCCAATATGGACCTATATCATTTCTGTAAATAACGAATTCTCCAACATCCATATATTCGTAATATTTTCCATCATAGGTTATAATATGAGGATCGTTGTAAATTTGACATATGCTATTTGTTAGGAAAGCGTCTTTGTCGACTACTTTAACCTAAAAAAATAAATTGCTTTTACGGTATTTTTATAAATATTAAATATTTGTATAATTTTTCAGCAATTGGAAACTAAGAATCCCTCATGAAACCCATATAATAAATAATAGCTCTAGAGTTCTTAAGCTACAGGGAAGGTGTCTATATCTATATACAATATGCGTACATATAAGTTGTTTTTGTGTCGTTAAATGTCTGCTTGCAGGATAAATATACCGATTTTAGTAAGGAAAAATACTCGAACATAGAATTTTTGAACACTAAAAGTGGTTCTCGTGTAGTTGCTTTTGTACTGCCCGAATTAAACGGTTCCATACAGGTTGACATAATTTCCTGCAACCTGTTACTTGATGGTGAGCACGGTAACAATCCGACTCAGCTTGTCAATCAAGTACAAAATAATTATTGACCTGCATATTTCTGTTATATTAACTGCTGCTATTTTAGCAGCGGTAAAACAATTGATGAAATGCAGAATGTTTTTTTTTTATATAAAATTGAGAATGGAAATGGGGAATGTGTCAAAGAGACAACAACCCAACCATAGAGCAGACAACAGCCGAAGGCCACCAATGGGTCTGCAATGCAGCGAGAAACTCCCGCACCCGGAGGCGTCCTTCAGCTGGCCCCTAAACAAATATGTATACTAGTTCAGTGATAATGGACGTCATACTAAACTCCAAATTATACATACGAAACTAAAATTAAAAATGATACAAGACTAACAAAGGCCAGAGGCTCCTGACTTGGGACAGGCGCAAAAATGCGGCGGGGCTAAGCATGTCATTTGCGATCTCAACCCTCCCCCCACACCTCTAGCCAATGCAGAAAAAACAAACGTACAACAGTACGCACAGTAAAACTCAGTTTAAGAGAAGTCCGAGTCCGATGTCAGAATAGGAAACAAAAGAAAATAAACAAAATGACAATATTACATAAATAACAACAGACTACTAGCAGTTACTGACATGCCAGCTCCAGACCTCAATTAAACTGATTGAAAGATTATGTCTTCATCATATGAATATCAGACACAATCCCTCCTGTTAGGGGTTTAGTATTATACCGTCATAAAATATATGAGAAGAACATAACCCGTGTCATGCCAACAACTGGTTTTAGAATAAATATGTTTAATTCCGATGCAAAGACCCTATAAGTGAATCAATATTAACGCCAAAATATGCAATCTTTAATGACCTGACAACAGTATCGTAACTATATCCCTTCTTAATAAGTCTGTTTAAAGGTTTTGTTAGCTTTTGAGGTGAATACTGACATTTTTGTGCTTTGTAAAGAATATTACCATCAAAGATTGGATGTGAAATACCCGAACGTATAAGATGTCTGCATGTTGAGTTATATGAATGATGTCCTTATACCGATGATAAAATTTAGTAAATGTTTTGACTAGTTTATGATATCGAAAACCCTGGTGTAATAATTTTTCAGTAATATATAAATTTCTCTCGCTAAAATCTAATACGTTGTTACATACACGAGCGAATCGTACAAGTTGAGATATATAAACACCATAAGATGGTGACAAGGGAACGTCACCATCTAAAAATGGACAATTAAATATAGGAAATGAAAAATCATCTATTTTATCATAAATTTTTGTATTAAGCTTCCCGTTAATGATATAGATATCAAGATCGAGGAAAGGACAGTGGTCATTGTTAGTATTAGCTTTATTTAAAGTAAGTTCAACAGGATAAATTTCTTTAGTATACATACTGAAGTTGTCATTATTGAGAGCCAATATATCATCCAAATATCTAAAAGTATTGTTAAATTTTTGTATCAGATGTTGTTTCGATGGGTCTTTGCTGATTTTAGTCATAAATTGTAACTCATAACAATACAAAAACAGGTCCGCAATAAGTGGTGCACAGTTAGTCCCCATTGGAATTCCGATAAATTGACGATATACGGAATCTCCAAAGCGAACAAAAATGTTATCAAGTAAAATTTCAAGGGCAGATATAGTATCAGGCATGTCCAATTGGCATAGCTCTTTTGTTCGTTGCTACTAAAAAATTACCTTAAAGAGTTTGAACATATGTTTTCGCATTCCGACTTTTTAAATGCCCATTTCATTAGGTGTGTGAATTTTTTCTTAATAAGAATATGAGGCAAAGTGGTATATAGGGTAGAAAAATCAAAACTTTGAACAGATTCAAAATCACCAATATATGCATGCAATTTATCAAGTACTTCCAACGAGTTTTTGACACTCCAAAAGTAGTTAATTCCACTATTTTCAAAGGCCTTATTTGAACAATTTATTATCAGGTTTTTGATTGTACCAAGTGTACTAGTAAGTAGAATAGACAATTTAGTAGTGGAACAATGACTTGAAGACGAAATAAATCTGTATTTGTAAGGTGATTTGTGTAGCTTCGGAAGCCAGTACATAGTTGGGACTTTCATTGTATTTGGTTCTGCTTGTAAAGAAGTAGCTAATAGTTTATGTTTGTTACAGATATCGTTTTCTGAAAATGAAGTCAGTTGGAATGTTGGTGAATTCGTGATTTCCTTTTGCAGAACCTCAATGTAAAATTTACGTCAAACTATAATGATATTATTAGCAGCTTTATCAGCCGGGACGAAAACAAACTCCTTGGCTAGTTCTTTAAGTTTATGTTTGATAAGAGAGATAGGATTTTTATGGTTGTTGTTAAGAGTAAAATGTTCTTTAAAATGTTGTATACGTATATCAACTGTCTTCATTACTGAATTAAAAAAAGAGTCCAAAGATTTTTTGTCAGCTTTTTCCCGTTTTATCCATTTCAAACAGTAAGCACGAAGTGAGTCGTGGAAGATATTACGACACTCATTCCAATTAATAATTGACGGGGGACGATATTTAGGTCCTTTACTGAGGAATGATTTTAACTCTCGGTCGCGAACGATGTTAAGGTCTCCTGTTATAACATGGGAAATGGGGCCATAAGTGTATTCGGAATTACTACAATTACATGACGGAGGTGTATTTTCACTGATATTTACATCTTTACAGACTTGGCTATAATTAAACACAAATTTTCGGGTAGATTTCTTGTAAATATAACAAATAAGAGGGAGTTCAGTATTATCAAAATATCCAGGAATTTGTTCTTTAACAGAATGGTCGTTAAAAATACCGGCAATATTTACAAAATCAAAACCTTTATTGACATACTTTATTTTAATAAAATAGTAAAATTAATAAAATGTTTTTTATGATCTTCAGGGCGATCAATTTTGGGAAAATATGCCTTTTAATGAATTTCCTAAGAATCTAAAATATTTCGAAGAAATTTACCTCTATGGATGGGATATATACATTCCTCCATATATCATTAAATGCCGAAGCAGATGGTGCTGACAATCTGATATAGGTTCTTCTGTCGTTAAGATTGTAGAGACCGTCGCTATATCCGTACACCTGAATTTTTCTGGAATCCTGCCAATCAAGGCTCCCTAGTCGAATTCCACAGAATTGAGATTTAAAAACAATATTCCTCTTGACTACACTGTTAGTGCATTCCATACCACTGTTAACATATTCCGGTGCAGATATGTAAAAATTTTGATCACAGTGTTTTCGAATGTTTTCATGCGACGCAACACAACCCACAGGAACGGTTGAGGTAAAGGTAATGTTGATTGATTCTCCTTCAAAGACTGTGTATCTAGTTCCATGTGGCTATAATAAAAAATATTTGTCATTAAAATTGGATGTCTTTAAGAGATCCCATACTTTGTAAAGACGTGTCTATTGATTACGATTGTAGGTTAATTACTAGATGTAATTGTTTGTTGGTGTCGATGGCTTGTTGTCTTATTGCCATATTACTCAAATGACATTTTATTCATAATTAAACCAAATTCAACATATGTAAATAGCTATTTATATGATTAAACCCTTGAAATTAGGCCAAAAGATATGTTTTATGTTTTACTCTTTTAATGAGTCTATTTTGAACATGGTATGTTGTAGTTTAAAGGTAAACGAGATTTGATACAAGCTATCACGAAATCTATAAAGTACTCTCTCGTTACAAGAAGAGTTTAATTTTCATAACAAGCATACACACGTTCTACATTTATATTGAAATGCTATAGATCAGTAAAAACATTATTTCTGATCCTATTCTGAAAAGGGCATTTTATGTAAATGAATCTATAAAGCTGTTTAGTTTGTATTATTTTAGGTCTATGTTACTATAATTCAACAAGAGGCTCTCAAGAGCCTGAATCACTCACCTGTATTTCAGAGAAGATTTTTAAATGTTAGCAAACTTGATGAACAAATTGTGTAAAATTGTCTTTAAAGGGCAATAACTCCTTAAGGGGTCAATTGACAATTTTGGTCATATTAACTTTTTTGTAGATCTTTCTATTTTGCTGAATATTATTGCTGCTTACGGTTTATGTATATCTATAATTATATTCAAAATAATAACAAAAAACTGCCAAATTTTGTTAAAACTACCAATTCGGTGGCAGCAACCCAACAATGGGTTGTTCGATTCGTCTGATAATTTTAGGGCCGATAGATCTTGACCAATTAAACAATTTTACCCCATGTCACATTTGCTCTAAAAGATTTAGTTTTTGAGGTATAAGCAAAAAACTGCATTTGACCCTTATGTTCTATTTTTAGCTATAGCGGCCATGTTTGTCGATGGAAACAAACTTCGGATACAATTTATAAACAAGATACCCTAAGGAACATTTAGTTAAAGTTTAAAGGTAATTGGCCCAGTAGTTTCAGAGAAGATTTTAAAATGTTAGCAAACTTGATGAACAAATTGTGTAAAATTGTCTTTAAAGGGCAATAACTCCTTAAGGGGTCAATTGACAATTATGGTCATATAACTTTTTTGTAGATCTTACTTTGCTGAACATTATTTGCTGCTTATAGTTTATACATATCTATAATAATATTCAAAATAATAACAAAAAACTGCAAAAATTTTGTTAAAACTACCAATTTGGAGGCAGCAACCCAACAATGGGTTGTTCGCTTCATCTGAAAATTTCAGAGCTGATAGATCTTGACCAATTGAACAATTTTATCCCATGTCAGATTTGCTCTAAAAGCTTTAGTTTTTGACGATGGCCATGTTTGGCGATGGATCAAAACTTCGGATACAATTTATAAACTAGATACCCTAAGGAACATTTAGTTAAAGTTTGAAGGTAATTGGCCCAGTAGTTCCAGAGGAGAAGATTTTTGAAATAGTTTACGACGACAGACGACGACAGACGACGACAGACGACAGACGACGACGACAGACGACGGACGACGACGGACGCCAAGTGATGGCATAAGCTCACATGGGGCCCTTCGGGCCCGGTAAGCTAAAAAGGACTTAGTTTTGTATAAACAAGGACTTATTTTTCTTCAAAACGTTATTGCTTCTGAATTGCTAATACTCTGAGTCAACTGATGCCATCTACTGTTGGAGATGTAAATAAAACGTTTCTGATTATTTAGCCGACTTTTGATGAAACATTGTAATTTTGTTAATAATTTAATAAAATTTTGTACATTTTAAATTTTTTCATATAGAGGCCTCTGTGGCCAGGTGATCTAAGTAGTCGAAATACTGTATCACTAGCCTGTCCACACTGAGGTTGTGAGTTCGAATACCGCACGTGGCAGGTGCGCTCGACTTCAATCTTAATTGACTAGGATTGTAAGTTTTCCTACGGAAGGTCGTTGGTTTTCTCCGGGCACTCCTGCTTCCTCCATCAATAAATACTGACCGCCAAGAAATAGCACAACAGTGCTGAAAGAAATGTTAAACATCAACCAATCAATCAATCAATCAATCAAATTCATTATAATGTGCTCTTTCATTTACCACAGACAGGCATTACATAGTATATAGGTTTCAGAGGCAACATTGAAGCGAATAGAGAAAAAAAGTGTTCAATCTTCTTGCTGTTCGTTTCTAAGATAGTAAATCTCAACCAGATTCATTACAGAATGACTCACTACTTACGACATTGGAAATCCTATGAAAATTCTTCTGTTTTCTAGGTCGTTAGAGACTCAAGTCATCTTACAAGTCGACGTGTCCATTATAGGTTATGATTATCAAAAAGGTACGAGTAAAATATTTTTATTTTATACTTGCTACAGCTTAATTTGCTGACGCAATAATATAATTTATGGCTTACATTTAGTCCTGCTCTAAAGACTTGGCTGTACAGATATGGACCTGGTGTTGATCCTATCGAATTTCTTCTTCTAATAGCACATTTAATCTGAGAATGAAAATTTAAGTATATGTATTAATTTCTATATAAGTTTCGATTACAATTTAAAAAATTACCAAGCGGTGTTACATATATCAATGGTCGCCGAAAGACAGACCTCCTTAATCAAAAGATAAATTATTATCGAAAAGTCAAACAACCGTTCAAAAAACACTAACAATTGAGGTATATAAACCCACTTAAACTGATTAAAGATAAGCACTAAAACAGCAACGGAAACTTACTTAATTTGAAAGGATCACCAATCCCTCTTCTACTGCCTTCGACTGTCATACAAGTGAGAGGTTTAGCTAGCTATGAAACCAGATTTAATCCACCATTTTCTACATAAGGAAATGCCTGTACCAAGTCAGGAATATGACAGTAGTTTTCCATTCGTTTGATGTGTTTGAGCTTTTGATTTTACAATTTGATAAAAGGCTTTCCGTTTGAATTTTCCTTGAAGTTCGGTATTTTTGTTATTTTACTTTTTTTATTTATGATACTGTCGTGGTATCCTTGTAAAACCCTTTGAGTTCAAAATGTTACAAAAGTGGATTGGTCAAATTAAATATTACAAAATTAAGAAGCAATCGGAACCAGTAAATTCTCGTTCACTTACACATAACTGAATGTGCAAGTTTCACGTTTTTCAGGCCAAATGATAAACACAACTTATCATTGATAAACAGTACTGGCAATGAAAAAAATTATTAAAGAGATTACTAAATCAAAAGTGACACGAATTCCTGTAGGAAAGAAATGATTTTAGGTGCCCCGGAATGGTACGCATTTTCTGTTTCACTCGTGGAATCCATTGTGTTGTTCACTTAAAGTATATATCTGGCTTTGATATAAAATAAGGAGAGATGAAGGGATTGCAAATCAAACATGTATCAATCAGAGACCAATTGACGTAGATGGCATGCATGCATCAGCCGACATGCAAATTTAGGCTCATTAAAAAAAAGTCATAAAAGGGAATCATATCTAAGATCTCGAAAAACACGTTTTTCATGAGTTGAGATACACATAAATTGTACCGATCAAGTTTTTCGTAATGTTTATCGTAAAACTTGTAAAGTGTCGATTTCATCCTTTCATCCTAATAACATAAGTGTTTGTAATTGGAACACACCCTTCTTTATGAGGTCCGAATTATGTGAACATGCACGCGCGCGTAACGTAATAACTGAGATATATGTGACCGCCATCAAATGTGAAGGTAGTATGTTTCTAATGAGAAAATGGAAATTTACCATGGTAAAACTGAAATATATGTCAATTTCAAGAAAAAGATCTAATAACTAACCAGAACTTCTATTTTTGGTCGTCTTCTTAATTTCACGTATACTGGAAGATATGCGATGAAAGCGCTTGCTAAAAAATTTACTGCACCAGATGCACATTTCGACAATGAATGTCTCTTCAGAGATTTTCGAATCCAAGCTATTTAAAAATCTAAAACCTTTTACAACATTAAAGAGCTAATAAACCAAAAAGGCCGAAGCCGGGCAAGGCATCAGAGCTTTGCATGAGGGAGATATATTCCTTAATTTAAACTAATTTCAAAAATATTTGCAACAGCAAATTTTAATAACACAATATTCGTATTTGCATGCCAATACCAAAGTACTGGCTACGGGTTTGATGATGACCTCGGGGACTAGCAGTCCACCAACAGAGGAATCGACCAAGTGGTAGTAATAACATTAACGGTGTCACTTTTACTGCACCAGATGAGCATTTCGACAATAAATTTCTTCTTATGCTCGAAGCCAAAATATTTGAAAATAACAAGTAAATTGTAATGCAGTTGTTGTCGTTTGTTTCTGTTTGTCATATTGTTTATATTCATGCACTGTTATTGTCTAGATTATGACTTTTTTCCTATTTATGCTTTCACATTTTGTGTTGTCGTGGCATTTTATAACTAACCATACGGTATGGATTCGCTCATAAATGGAGGCCGTTCTGTAAATGTTTTTGCCCTTCGGTCTTTATGGATAATTTTCTTCTTGACATTCATATCACAACTCTTTATTCTTATACTTCTTTTCTTTAATATAAAGACATGCATAAATTTTATAAGGTCATTGAGCTTCAAGTCCATGTTTAGAGGGTCTATGTTTGCCAATCGACTAATAAGTTTTTATCTAATTACAAAACATTTTATAGTAATAATGGGTATTTTGAAGGAAATACAACGACAAAAGTTTGTAATATCTGGAGTTTTTTGGGGTTCTATTTCCTACCATTTTATTATAATTGTAACATACCTCCATATTCATCCTGTATCTTTGTGACCAATCGCTTTCCTTAAAGACGATAACTTCATCAATATCCTCGAAAAGCACGCTCGTATTTTCCTTAACTATCCCTCCACATATTAGCCAAAAAACATCATAAGCATGAGTACCATTTGACTTGTCTTCAAAGTCACATTTGAAAATCGGTACCAAACTTGGTGTTGAACTTAAACCAGGTATCGGAAAGCTTTCGCCTTCTGCCAAAATGGCCTTTACTTCCACCGCTGTGTAGTCATTAGGAAAATTAGCTATGAAATATAAAAACAATATTCTTTATATGAATAGAAAAAAAAGAACGATATCCGAAGACATACACGCATGTTGTTGCAGTAAAGGCTTGAGATTACTGAATAAGGTAAACAATGTCATGCAAACACTTATTAAACCTGTGTTGCAGTGTCAACTTACAGACAGTAAATTTTTATACCATTCAAATTACCTAACAAATTCGTTAAATTAGCACCAAATGCATCTTAAAATATGTACATGAATAAAATATGCAGAGATTATTTTATTCTTCTGAAAATTTGTCTTTTTTCTAGATGCCACGTTTGAATGAAGGATGAGCTATGATAAGCGCCATTATCTGGCCCTTACAAAAATAGTACGAGTTCAAGCTTTTCAAAACTATATTAATTTCATTTATAAATGGACAGGTTAATAAAATCTGAACACTTCATTGCAGAAAAGTCACTTGTGATAATGTCCTGTCATTATGACGTCGTAAACATGCCACCATTTACGAATTGGACATAAAATGGCCATTTCGCACATAGCTGCTTGGTCAAAATATATATGAGCAACAGCTTTACCCAAAAAGATATTTTACAAACATTGGCATATTGGAAAAAATTGTAGCATAATATCTTTTTTGGGGTACAGTTCTTTCTAGTATCTAAATATTACTGAAAGGACATCAAAATGTGGCTATTTTGACAGGGTTTGCTGTTATGCACTAAATGTTAGAAAATTTAAATAAACTCATCATAGATTTAAGCCCAAATTCCAATATGTAGGACAAAATTCAAAAATACAAATACTGATGTCCGACAAACTAATGCTTTACGAACATCTGAGGGATGCTATTTCGCATATTTCTAATACATTTTGATTTTCGAATTCAAGTGGGCAAAAAGTTGCCTTATCGTACCTTTTCCTTTGACAAATTAGATGGAAATCATTACGTGAAGTAGAAACAATTGTTACTCAACAAGCCAGCTTTCACAAATTAAGATTAATGTACACTATATATCTGTTATTTCTCTATGTTTATCACTTTGACGAATAGCGAGTTACGATAGATCAACGTTTTAATCAGATTGCTTATTATTCAATATCCGAATTTACTTTCATTTAAGATCAAGTTTCAGTAAATGGGTCTATGTCACAGATTTTGGTAAAATTTTGCATACAACTTCGACTCGTTAAACTAAAACTAAAATCGAAAAAATAATGCATTTGTCTTTTTTATTCTCTGGAATTCTTTCAAAATAGGGGATCATTTGTATAGAAAGCACATAGAATCGGCGAAAAACGTTCTTAAATTTGTCTTAAAGTCATAAAACCTCCAATTTCAAATACATAGATTTTTCTTTAAAAAAAACATATGTTGTTGATACACAAAACTTAAAAGTGGCGTTCCAGGTGAAAAAATATCTAAACTCGTCGAAATAAGCGTAACGTCATCGCTTTGAAAGCAATAAAACGTCTGTTTTTCACTACCAACTAGGTAACTGATTGGTAAATACATCAACAATGAAGTTGGTGACCAAATGATTATTTTATATTTTTAAAACGGAAATTTGTGTATCAACAACATATAGTTTTTAAGAAAAATCTGTGTATTTGAAATTAAAGATTTGATGATTCTAAGACAAATGTTAGCATGTTTTTTGAACGATTTCGTGTGCCTTCTATACAAATGTTCACCTTTTTTGAAAGAATTGATATTTAAAAAACCTTCATTAATTTCAATAAAAAAAAAGACTTACAGCTACAGCCTGGATAATATTCTGTTTCGGAAGATGTACCAGACGGACATTTAACACGTCCACTTCCTGCATGTAAAAACAACATAATATTTCTACCATCTCACAAAACGTCTTAGAAAAGCATACAGTTAAACCTCATCTACTTATACAAACATGCGTCATATATAATTGATTATTTCCATTTTACAGTAGAGTTTTCATGTCTACGAATTGATTTTGAAAACCATCTTATGTCAAGCTTTCATTTGTATTACCCTGTATGCTATCCATCTTAAGGACGCCTCCGGGTGCGGGAGTTTCTCGCTGCATTGAAGACCCATTGGTGGCCTTCGGCTGTTGTATGCTCTATGGTCGGGTTGTTGTCTCTTTGACACATTCCCCATTTCCATTCTCAATTTTATCCAATATTATCAGTAATATAAGAATAATACTTTATAAATTTGATGCGTCCAAAACGCTTTTTCTGGATTTATCTTCATCAAGAAAGCTAAAACTCGAATCTTTGAAAGTCAAAGATGTATAAATACTTTTATACTTGAGGAGCATTGTAGAAAATAAAAATAAGTTTAGAAATTTGGCGCTTTTACTTGGTTAACATTCGTCAGGAAACGCTCACACCCAAGTACTTTGAGAGCAAGGCATGTATAAAAGAGGGACGAAAGATACCAGAGGGACAGTCAAACTCATAGATCGAAAACAAACTGACAACGCCATGGCCAAAAATAAAAAGACAAACAGACAAATAATAGTACAGATGACACAACATAGAAAACCAAAGACTAAGCAACACGAACCCCACCAGAAACAGGGGGTGATCTCAGGTGCTCCGGAAGGGTAAGCAGATCCTGCTCCACATGTGTCTCACAACCCCACTAATCCCAAAAGTCCATGAGATGTCATGACAATCTTCACAACAGGTAATGTCCGTCATCTTCAATTTAAGGTTTCCGATTGGTTCAATTGGCATCGTTTTTTTACTTATGAATGCACCAAAGCGTAAACAATGAATCAGGGTTAATGAAAAAATATAGACTAAATGGTAGTATACACATACGTCTTACAGTTTACCAGAGGTTTTATCTATCTATATAAAACATAGAGAGCTGTGTTTGGTATGGTTGCCAGTGAGCTAAATAACCACAAGATACCAAAGGACGAGGATGTAAAAAAACCTATTGGGGACTGTACGGACTTAAACAAGGAACAAAACAATATGGACCATATTGTTAAGCTAGAAAAGACCGCCTCGTGTCTAAATTTGAAACAATTTAAAATAAAAAAACCAACGGCTGATCTGTTCTAAAATCAATAAACGTTCATACAAAATGGCAGACAGAACAGCGACCAACGACAACCACTAGTCTCCTTAACAGGCAGTTTTTTTAATGTTTCATGTTCTTTAGTGCACAACAAGAATACAGAAATGTACAGTAGCTGAACAGAGAATACAGTATATGATTTATTATATATCTAATAGATCGCAAGTTGGAAACTGATTGTATAACCGTGAAACGACAATATTATATTTTATTCCTTATGACATGCTGGTGAATGGATTTTTCTAACAAAGTCTTGTCTCTGCTGCATTTTACTTTTAATTTGGAATGTTTTGATATAAAGGTTCAGTTGAGACACGTAGTGTAGAAGAAAACTATCTCTTGATAAGATGGCACATGTTGCCAGGCACTCTTTATTTACTAAGGAACACAATTTATCGCCATACGCTTTTATTTAGTACATTAAATTATAGCCCCTTTCGTAGCTATTTATTAGAACTATAAACAACTGTCATACAAATGGGAGGTTTAACTAGCTATAAAACTAGGTCTAACCCCCCATTTTCTTCGGAGAATGCCTGTATCAAGTCAGGAATATGGAAGTTCACTTGTTCCGTTGATTGATAGCGTTTGATCAATTAATTTTGTCAGTTTTTATTGACTACCCCTTTTTGAGTTCGGTATTTTTGTTATAACTTTTTAGACATGAATCTGTATGCTATACTTACCAAAACAGTAAGATGAATTGGAAGGAGTCGGTTGTAGGTAGTATATATAGTATCCATCACAATTTCGTATCTCAATTTCAATCGATATTTCGCACACACTACTATTTGTCTGCATACACGCTTCTCTGGTTACATTTCCCTCTGCAAAGTTTGGAAGAGTCCCTGAAATATACTGTGCTATCATTTAAAGCTATGATTTTTTTTTCTAAAAGATCAAACTATATGAAAATCAGTTTTAAAAAAAATATTTATCAATATGTTTTTTCATTGAGATATTTGTTTTTATAGCTTGTATTAGTATATATTAAATTGGTTTAAGTATCACTTCCATAATTCACTTTGTTTGTTAATACTATTATTTTACTGTTCAAAGTAACAATTATAAAAGGAACCACCTAATCAAATCAATTTGCCTTTCCTATCCTTGATAGACAAGTGCTCCTTATGATAAACCTATTGAAATAAGAGTTCTAAATGGTACCTTTGAACGTCTAACTGAAGCCATCATGCCTTTATTAACCGTGAAGGAATATTTGGGTCAGATATTATTGCCACTGGTCTTAGCCACTATCCGATCTCTTTTCTTCGGGTTTTACATCACCAAATGCGACATACCACAGAATTAAAACGGCACAACTTGAGGAGCAGGAACTTTGAGATCATCACTGCGTTATGGGTTGGGTTCGTGTTTTACATTATGTTTAGTGGGCAGTGTTGTGTTTTCGTCGTAATTTTGGATCATGGTATTGCCTGTTTTACTTCGACTAATGGATTATGGATTATGGTTGTGTTCAATATGTGTATTTTACCCCTTCTTTATTTCCTGATATAAATCTAATAGCATTTTCTAGTCAAACTCCTGAAAACTGATTACTCTCAGGATTGGAAAGAAATATGCGGTTAGACAAATGAGTAATGGAAATGTTTTGTTTACGTCATTGAAACCTTAACCTAACGATACAAAAATCAAAAGGTATCTAGAAGGCAACTTACAGAACATGTGACATGAATCTGAAATATTACTACACAGAAACACTTAATTAAAGGACCAATGTATAAATTGTTCGTTCTATGATGAATACATAGCAAGAGATGCTCAGTTTCTGTTTGTTACCTTGAAATGGCTCTTCCTAATCGATTTACGAGATTTAAATATCGGTAAACTACTGTCGCATTAAGTAATCTATTATGGAAATGGCTTGACAGTTTTAAACGATAAGCTGCAGTTTTCTAACCATACGTCAAGATTATAATTTCGTATTTCGACGACTAAAAAGTGATACTTTTTTCATACATCAAAAACGGTAAACCGCTGCATATTTGATTGAATAAATTAAAATAACACCTAATACATTTTGTAGTCATATGCACAAAAGATTAGATATTATTGTTTTTATTGTAAAGAGACACATGTCTGAGTAATATGAATATACTGATAAATAAGTCTTCCTGCTAGAACTGACGTCTGTTTCTTTCTTTTTTCCTTTCGAATTTTTGGTTCGTTTGTTTTTACTATCAAGCTTAGTGCGTTTTAGCTTCTTTTTATTTGCTGATGCATCAAAATATTAAATGCATCTGGATTTGAGAGCTTAAACTCTTCAGTGTGTCTATAACCGGGTTAAAGGTATATTAGAATTTGACGCTAAAACAACATATTTCAAATTCTTGTGTTTGACAAAATTTTGGCATGATTTCCGTGGTCGAAAGCCGGCATATTGTAGTACGCTATCACTTCAATGAAGTGTTTGGCGATGTTTTGTTACTAATTGTGAAGATAAATGACTTAACCACATTAACACAAGATATGTTATTAGTTTTAAAGTTAATTCAAAATTCATCTCCATTAAACAAGAACATTAACAAAATGATTTTTCTAACCATTGAGCCAGATAGGGTTATCTGTTCCACAATGATATGCTCCAGGAGGTGAAACTGGCATCAATATATAGCTATCACAGTTAATTTTGTACCAGCCCTTTTCTAATACTGCATCATTTATTGGACCATCCGTTGTCCAATTAACTACAAAATCCTTTGAGCGTTTTTCAACATTTATCATTGTTGTGTATGATCTACATGGGTCTTTTGTGGCTAAAAGAGTGTAAACATAGATTAAATATTTATCACTATTTTCGAAAAGCAGATGAAACTAAATGCTATTGACTAAAAGTCTATACAATGCCTTATTCCAATGATAATATGATAATATGTTCAACATTTTTTAAGAGCACTTCTGATTTCTGGGAGTTCGTACTTTCTAGGCATTAACTAGTTCTACAGTTGCTTCCTACACATTCATTGGCCTGTTAATGTCTGAAATTAAGAACTGGTCTTCTTCCTGTCAATTCATGATTTTTCGACAGTTAGATTTTTCCTGATAAAATAGTTGCTGTTTATAAACAACCTATTTCAGTGAAGTCAACAGTTTTATTCTAGGGGTAGAACAACTTGAGAAAATTTTTTTTGATATTATTTTATATCCAAAATGTATGATGAGTAGTTTTTTTTTGGTACCTTTTTTTTTCATTTTGAGTATTTTATTTATTGGGGTAATTTTGTTAACCCATGGTTCAAAACGTTCAACATTCGACATTTCTAAATGAAATACCAATACCATACTATTTAACAGTGAAAATAAAGCGGGCTAATTATAAAGCAATACAAAAATATAAAACGACAAAACTGTAAAGCATATAGACCTTTATTCCAGATGTCAAGTTTAAACATGATTTGATGGTCGATTTCGTTTTGTAATGTGTGTGAAACGATCCGTTGTACGTTTGCGTATGGTTCCAAATAAACATTACGTCAACATTGACCGAACTCTCTATTAAGTAAAGTCTAACATAAGAGCCACAACTACTTCTTTGTCAGTTAAAAAGAAAAAGAAAATCACCATTATATGAAAATGTAATATATAATACTCTCAGTCTATGATTACACGAATATTTTGTTCGAGAAAAAAATCATTCCGGGGTTAAGACTCGAACCCCGTATTATTGATATTTATCGTTATGACTTTCGTATCCAACTACTATAGTACGATCACGGCTATGGGAAAGATGGTTATTATATGTAAAAAAACATATTTTCTCTTCAAAAACTAAAGCACAATGGATTCTGCACGTACAAATAAGTAGTTTTGGTTGTATAAAAGCGCATAATTGCAATTATCCAAGTTACACAAATTATTTAATATTGATTGAATATACTCTAAACAATTGCAGAATCAACCTGTAACAGATGTATAGAAATTTAAATTATATCTAACTTTTGTTAACTTGTCGGATGTCTATTCATAGATGTGAACAGTGTGGATACAACCATTCCAAATTAATGAATTCTCTAATACTGAAATCTGAACCGTATGAGTTTTCATTAATTTGTATATTGCTTCAATGGGGAAAGGCAAACAATGACAGCAGCTTTAGGTTTGATCCCTGTTGATAATATTTCACAAACACTTGTCGTGGTCACCGAAATATGTGTGCTACATTATGCTGCAATTTGGTGTCCTATCATACATTTACAACCCAACAGATATCGCTTTATATACACGTATTTTCATCTCAAAACTAAAACATTTTGAAATATTCCTTTTTTATCTTTGTTTTACCACTTCCAAGGCGATATCAAGCAAATGTCAAAATATATGACGTTGACCTTGACCTTACTTTTCAAGTTATGATAATGACCATGATCGCAAATCCGAGAAGATCCTTTGTGTTTACAGCTCATGGTTTATAAGTTGCACCAATATACACTTTAGTTAAATGAACAGGAAAATAATTTATATAAGATGTTGATTTGGTGCATGCTTCGGTATAATTTTAGGGGCAACAACTCTACAAAGAAAAGTGGTCAGTTAAATAGGGTGCGTTTTGAAAGTGTAATAACTGTTCGATCTCATATATTAAATATCGAATCCGCATGTTTTAACTGTTTTGACTGTCCCTCTGGTATCTTTCGTCCCTCTTTTTTAAACCAAATATGAATTTTCAGATAAACAATTGTGAAAGAAGAACAAATAATAAACAAAACAAGTTCGCAAGGTCTTACATAGAAAGGTGGAAAAACCTTATAATATCACGAGTCAGGACGGTTATCCAAAGTTTTCCAAATTGCTAGCGTATTGTATTAGTCATAAGGAAACAGAAGATACCAACGGGACATTCAAAACTCAAAGTTCGAAAAGAAATTGACAACGCAATAGCAAAAACGGAGGGGGCGAAAAGGCAAACACCAGTCAACTAAAAACTATATAGAAAACTAAAGACTGAGCAACATAAGTCTAGAATACATCATTTAAAAACGTTTGACGAGAAAGTCCATGAGAGTAACACAAATCATATCGCAATGTTTGTATGGTCTTGTCAAGCAATCAACGTTCAAACAAGAAAACAAAACTAACATTTGAAATAATTTAAAAATTCAAATGATAAGATGTAACAAAATTTGCTTTTCATAAAATTGAATTTTGAAATTGAATTTTTTTACATTTGTACAAAGAAAAGTTAAATAAATGTATATGCAAATTATTGGGAGGTTTCAGAATAGAATAAGGTTAATTCAAAATATTATCTTAATTTAACAAATTGTAGGGTGGATCAACTTATGTCTCAAAATCAAAACACGCATATGAAAAGAACAGCCAAAAGTACCTCACTGCAAGTTCTAGACGGTCCCTAGCCCCATTTCGAACTAGAAGTCGACCACGTTACATATATGCATTGAAAAAAACATTTGCAGGGAAATATCAACAAATTATAAATTATATCTAGCAAAAAGATTATAACATTCACTGTAATAGAGCGCCTGACAATTGTTAAATACAGCAACAACGCAACAAATAGACAACCACGAAGAACATAAAAGTATATGTTAAATAACTTGGCAAGAAATTAAGTATGAATAGGGCGAATATTCAAAAGGACTGCCAGAAAATTTCAATAACAAATTAACCGAGTGCGAGAAATGAGGAAGCACACATTAGAGAAGTTATCTAAATAAAACAATACGCAATAACTGTTAAGAAGATACACATGTAGCACGGAAAAATGTTTTGTAGCAACAACACACCATGATAAACAACATTATGTTAACAATCTGGAAAAGGAGGATATGGTTATCAATTTATGATATGAAATCTCTACACGCACATCAACAGCTGAAAGCAAAGGAGCAGAGATTTGATTGTTGTTCCTCATTTGAAAGCCTCAGTTATGCCATTAATATAGAACAAGAACTCTCACTTCACTGTAACAACTTATTGACGGATACATTAACTGCTGCTACCCATCATTTCATTGAAAATATGATGTTTAGACATAACCCATACCTTACTTGTTGAAAAGATTCTTCAGAGATTGACACCATATTTTTTTTGGAATAATTTACAATAGTTTTTAAAAGTATATGCATTTTTATATAATAAAAGCCTTAATTTGATATTTGATTTATTTAAGAGATGCCCTATGGGACAACTCAGATAAACAGTTTACTCATTATAATACTCTCAAGCGCGTGCAAAGTGAGTGAGATACTGCTCGCGACTGTGTTATGCAACATTAGTATAATTACCGTAAAGTTACATTCACATCAACTTAAGTATTGTAAACAAACGTCTAAATACGTGACAAACCTCAGAATAAATCTCTACCAAAACTGGATTATATCTGATAATTATATATATATATCTATAATTTACATAAATTATTTATAAGAACGTCTGCTTTTACTATAGTAATCAATCAAACAGTATATGTTTGTGTAAGTATTTGTGTTTTTATTTTACTGTATTGACTTACTGTCCCCGTGATAGATCTTTATGTCACGAACAGAAGAACTCAGTCTAGCTATATTTTGTCGAGTACCTCCATATTTATTGACACGATACACATACCGATAGTCATACCAGTTATCTGTATAGTACAGATAGTTATTGTACACAGCAATGCCATTTATTGAATAATATGATGACTTGTGTGAAATTTGTTGTATTTCCTTAAATCCAATTCCGTCGAATGTAGCAGATTTTATTGTATTTCCAATTGTCCAATAAATCCTTCTGTCTAAAATATCTATAAATAAATCACTGATTCAATATAGTTCAATGATGGATTGGATATTTAAAGATTCTGAAAATATTTCAGGAAAGTAAGGATAACAATGTAAATGATAGTGACTATGTTAGTTTTTTGTCTCTTACATGCGTTAGTGTTAACAGTTGAATATGATAAAGAAGTTAAAAAATAATTTTCATACAACTGTACGACATAAGTTTTTTGTTTTTGTTTTAACTAGATACAAAAAAGTAAAGGCTAGGTTTGTTTTTCATTGACAACCATTAGTGTTTCAATTCCTGAATGTTTACACTGGTACGATTTAACAGGGTTATTCCATGAAATAATTTACCTGACAAATCATACTGGCTTCAGTTTAACACAAAGCATAAACAAATATTCATAATAATCTTTACAAAACAGTGTAAATTGCCTGTCCAAATTAATAAAAAATAAAAGTTTGTATAAGTATTTTATTTGGCCTTTTTCACTTTTTTTATTCGAAAGTCACTGATGAGTCTTTTGTAGACGGAAAATTTGTCTGGCGTACAAAATTTTAATCCTGGTATCTATGGTGAGTTTATATTATGTCAACTAGAAGTTCTTCCGAAATTGACTTCAATTTACAGTTCTTGAATGGTGTCAATTGCCCAATAAACTTGGATAACATAATTTGTATGTTGCATTGTGCAATGGGGAGTAGTGTGTGGTGCCGTAGGAATTGTGCATAGTTCAATTAAAAATGGTGTATGGTGCAATTGAGAATGCTGTATGATGCAATATAGAATGGTATATGAATGAATTGGAATGGTTTATAATGTGATTGAGAATTTATTTTTTACACCTTTTGTATAAGCTCTGGGTTTTTATATTGGAATTTGTAATTACACGTTTTCTCTGAAATAAGTTTCATTATAAAAAATCAATATCATGTATGATTTAAACGAAAAGAGGCATTGTTTATGGTGCTTTAGGGCATGGGTGTATGGTTTAATTTGGATAGTGAAACCTCTTGTCGTACATGTTGTTATTTGGAAACGAACCATACTGGTGACTCTAATAATACGTTTTCCTTTACTTATAGTCTGTGATAGACATTTTCTTGTATATAACTTGTTTTGATTTGGAAACGAAAAATACTGGTGACTCTAATGATACGTCTTCCTTTACTTATAGTCTGTAATAGACATTTTCTAGTATATAACTTAAGAATATTTTGTTTCTTTTAGTTTACCTAAAGCTATTCGCGAACTTGTAGTCATGTCACCGTCAAATAACACTGTTTCGGTATTGTTTCCATCTAATCTACATCTATCTATAGACCCTTCTGAGGCATTCATGAAATAAATCCAGCTACAATTCAAGAAAATGAATATACTAAAATTATGTTGTTTTAGCATGTTTAGGCATAGTTGGTAAAATGTTTAACCTTCACATATGAGGTTTTTGTAATGCAATTTATATACAGTTTTTTAACATTCTTCCTAATGAGCTCATAAAGTTAGCAAATGACTTATTATCAATTTGGTTTTATTCAAACAGACCTTGACTATAGACAATGCGTTTTATGATGTAATTTAACACAAAAAGTATAACAAATATACCAAACTCCAAGGCAAATTCAAAAAAGGGAAGTCCATACCAATGGATAATCTGAGTGATGTTGTGTATACGAACCGTACACTGTGAAAAAATAATACATTATATGTTTATTTTTTCTGTGCCTCATCTATATTTTTGTGGGGAATTCAACTTGTCTTTTTGCAAATGCAGTGATATTCAGGAGGACAATTATACGGTTTTGAATGTGCACAAATTAATTGACTTTTGGTTTGCTTGTTTGCAAAGTGAATTGTGAACTCAATACCAATTCGGTTAACCATAATAAATCTGGTTCTGCAGGCTTTTTTATAAGACTTATTATTCTTCTTAATTTGATAAGGGGAAAATGACAATTATAACTCCTTTATACAATACTAAAAAGCCTGCAGAACCAGATTTACCAGAAAGGTTTTTTATTTGCCATATTAACCATAGCTAATAAATGATTAATGATAAAGTAAACAAGCAAACAAACTTTTATTCTGTACACTTACTTAGCCCTCAAACATTTCGGAGATAACTATTACCGAATTTCTTCATCAAATTATTTCTTTTCATTGTATTTTAGTCTTCATTCAGTTTTAAATCATGTAAAATCTTACTGCGTAATTCTCAAGCGTTGAGTGATCAGATAAAACAATATGTATTTGTTGATCATAGTTCTAATGCTGACGTGTAGGAATAGGGGGTTATCATTTCTTTTGTGAATGAAACAAGTCGTAAAATACAGAAAATTCTAAATAGTGTATCGTACTTACCTATCGTTAAGATCTAAAGCAATATGTCCTATGGCACCAAAATTTCCATTTTCTAAAATGACTGTTCCGTTTAGACCATTAATGTCCGAGCGGATTAATGCTTCATAATAGTAGTCTGACCAGTAAATATTGTCATTATCAGAGTCAATAGCAAAACTGTGTGGATGATATGGCGATGTTTTTGAAATTATTACCTCTGTCTCTCTTTCATTGTTATAACATGGATAGCAAGTCCTAAAGATAAACGTGGAGACATCTCAAATTTACATGCCGAAGTCAATTGTCAGCAATAAAATGTCTTAAAACACTATTTGCTTGTGTAAAGTTTATATTTTTGTTTGTATATTAAAATGTGGATTCGCATGACGGATGATGCATGCAATTCAGGGGATGTTTACCCTCTAAATGCACCCGGTGACGCTTTTTTTTTAGTTCATCCGATTCACTTTTTAGTTGTTTCATTGACATTATCTTTTTGATTGATTTAATCGAAGTACTTTTCTTAAATTGCCCGTTTATAAATTTTGAAATTATAAAGAAACTAATAAGGTTTCAACTCCCTCGGGCAAAGTTGGCCTTAGATGGATTTGGCTTTTTTTTTAGGTCTTCAACGTTTTCTGTACTGATAAATCCTTGGCTTTCAAATATTCGGCTTTAAGCGTTCCTGGTGAAGGTAAATCAAGAAACGCGATTCGGACGCATGAAATTTATAACGTGTTGTTTTCATTTTTTACATTTTCATTTACTAAGTTATCGGTACCTTTGAAAAAAGATGTAAGTACATTTGTTATACATCATTGGTTAATTCCTGAATTCCCTAGCAAACTTCAAAATAAAGCATACGATTAGTCAAAATATCACAATCGGGAATAGCACACAATCGATGCAATTACAAATTTGTTAGACGACTCTTCTGTTATCTAAACTCTGTTGGAACAGTTTTTGTGTAAGGGGCACTCCTGTGTTAATGAATTCCACAAAGAGTGAACATGCACGAGCATTATGTATCAAATGAAAATGTAAACTCCAAACGATGGGGGAGAGGGTATACTACTGCTTGGAAATGGAAAGTTGAAATCATCACGTTTGTTCTAGATTCTTCCATCGAGATCAAGATATGAAACAGACTTTCTTGTTTCAGTAGTATCCTTAATCTCATGTTCACTAGAATATACGAGATGCTAAATCTCACTGAAACGCGGGTGATTGATTGACAGGATATTATCAATATATCTGAAAGTAAAATAAAGGAACCTTGAAAAGTGTTTTTCTTCTTGTCTGAGAAATTTCTGTATGTTCTGCTTCATATGAGTACAAACTCTAATTGAAATACCGAGTGTCTGTTGAAATATTAATCCGGCAAACTCAACAAGAATTTTGTCGAACAAAAAGACCAGCATTTATTTTATATCATTTTCGATGTATTTCTTGTTTGAATCAGTGTGGTTCATAAAAAATTTACATTTATGATGACCATAAAACATGGAGTTTGTATCTACGATTCTTATTTTGAAAAGAAGCTCTGTTTAATGAGACGATTTAGCAGGATGAATAGTAATGTAAAGCGTTAATAAATCAATAGTTTTGATATCAATGCAATATTATAAAGATTGTGATTGAAGATGTTGATGTATATCTTTATAATTTTTAAACACGTCTAATTGACACCTCTGGATGAATATAATTCATGACAATTGTCTGACAGTGCTATTCATTCTTAAATGTATCATATAGAATCATCTAAGTCGAATTTCATATATTGTAAATACTCTGTTTAGTTTTATATATATTACCAGTATTTTTTTATGGCTAGTAGATCATATCTTTATGAAATAAAATTGAGATTGTTTGAACAAAAGAACACAGAATAGTTTCCTGTAAGTTTAACAGTTACTCCATCTTTATATACAAAAGTATGAAAACATTATATGCGTACCTGTGCATAGTACCATCAACTGAATTTATTGTATAGACGTAAGCCTTTGATTCGTGGTAATCAATCGAGTCATCTCCACGTAAACCAACAACTAGCTTGGTTACTGTACTATCATTCCGGTTAATTGAATACAATCTGTATCCGTCTAAAGCCAACAAGTTTGGTTCTGTACCTAATAATGGCAGTTGCATATCGATGTAAAAAAGTTGTATCAATGAGTATTGGCAATTTCGTATAAGGACGTAGAATTAACGTATTGGATTGATTGATTGATTAATTGATTGATGTTTAACGCCACTTTCGGCACTGTTGTGCTATTTCGTGGAGGCAAGTCTTTATTGGTATGGGTAGCCGGATTGCTAGGAGAGAACCACCGACCTTCGGTGGGAAAACTGACAATCCTAGTCAGTTAAGATTGAAGTCGAACGCACATGCAACGTGCGGGATTCGAACTCACAACCTCGGTGTTGACAGGCTAGTGATACATTAGTTCGACTACTCAGACCACTCGGTCACCGAGGCCCTTAAAGATATTTGACTTAACTCTCATAAATCAATGGTACGTGTGTGTCCAATTTTTTCACAATATATTCTAAGATTCCAAATAACACACATTGTTGTCATTGTGTAACACATGTAGATTCAACTAGCCGACTTCCGTTTCAATTATGTATTGTAGCGCCCATTGCGTTGCAATGTGAGTAGCTTTGCATCTTGAATGTTTGAATAGTTGGGGCTTTCCTTAAAAGATTGTGATTGGACAAACAACATTTTTTGTAAAAGCTTGCAATTGGACAAATAGAAGATTTCCTGGAAAGCTTGGAATTGGAATGGTAATAGCTTTTCTATTTCAAAAGAGTTTTCCGTCTCAAATTCATAATCTGTGGGGGGGGGGGGGGGGGGGTGGGGGGGGGTGGCATTGTAGTTTCATACAGTCTTTTGTCACGACGTCAAACATTAGATTCAGATAGTATACATCCTTTTCAAAGATAGTTTAGCTTCCATTGCATTGTAAATATGGGTAACATTGCAGCGTTGAATATAAATTGTAGCGGGATTACAAAAGAAGGACAAGACAAATGGCTGATTCAATTTTAGAGGTTTAAAATTACTTCAGGGTGGTGTATTATATAATATTGGAGACTACGTAATTTCTTAATCACCTGCATTTTATACTTTTCTCACTTTGGTTGAGATTTGATACCAATACAAAGGTGTTATATTTTTCCTATGGGTTAATTTTTTTATTAGCATTTGTCGTCGGTTTGTTTTAATTAGAAAAGACTTTCTCCTGTAAATGTTTCCGTATTCTGCAGTCACAAGTCATAGGTCATTTGATCATTCAAGAAAGCATTAACATATTTCAAACGGTTAAGCTACAGGATTTATCTTTAAAAACTAGAAGTCAATTTTGTTGATATTTTTCTATCTTTAATTTTTAATTGCAAATTTCATTTAACAGTGTGTTAGTTCGTAAAAATATATTGTAAACTTTGTTAGGATGAATCAAATATATCATTAACGAATAAATGGTATTTGTGATAACGAGTTTACAAGATTGAAGCTGGCGCATTTATAGATTTCGTAAAACCAAATTCAGAAAATTGATAAATGAATTCTGTACAATTTGCAAACATAGATTTCAAAATCGTTCTTATAATTTCTAAGATTATCCTCACAGATTTATATAGTAATTGCCATTTTCAGAAATTTTTATTCACTATAACGATCTTTTTATATGCGTTAATTTTGGGGCTTTTTTTTGGGGGGGGGGGGGGGATTGGAGGATGATATTTGCATTACTAGTAAACGGTTTGCACAAACATTGAACCTATAACGAATTGAATCTGTAATGTCAAATATACTGAATTTGTTATTACGAATTTTATGTTGGTATTAGAATATGCAAATTTCATAATAACAAATTCGCGTTATTTGTAAATACGAATTCTCTACAATCTTTTAAAACTGATTTCAAATTTCATTAAAATAAATTCTGAAATTGTTGCAAATTCTTACATATTAACTAAATAACAACGATTTCTTAAAACATTCAATTCGAAATAACGATTTCAACCCTAATCAACCTTTAATAACACATTATAGAATTTATGATTACCAATTCCTAGAATTTCTACACGTGAGAACTTTTTTATACATCATAAAAGATTTCAGAAAATACGTTGTTACAGATCTTTGAACTCTTTTTTACAAATTCTTTTAAAATCTTCTAATACATATAATTTGAGACTTTTTCCAGTATTCCGTTCCTCCATAATTATTTCAGAAAAGAGGTTTATATATATTCCATTTGATTCAATACAATTATATCAATTACAAAGTTCTACTGTTATTTGTGATATGATAAGGATGAAAATAATAGTTTAAAAAACTTGCTACTCCATAAACGTGTCAATCATTTTTATTTACAAAATAAAGCATTTAAATATTTATTTCCTTTTGTTAACTTAATTGGTACAATCTACAACTTACCGCTCCTTGTCCAACAACAATCTTGGTAACATCTTTTACTGTAACAGCCTCCGTGATTCCAACAACAGCTGTTAACAGATACCGCGAAAAATAACAAGAGACCAAAAAGCGTCAGAATCGGTTCCATCACAGACAATGACTAAAGCTTCTTTTAATTTTTTAGGTTCTTCCCCTGCAAAATATTATCAGTGAAAGACGAAAACAAGAATTTAATTAAAATAATTATGTCTTTAAAATTATTTTAAAGCATGCAACGTTGGACGATAATGTACAATGAGGAAGTATTGGTTTTTATTGTTCCGTCTCGATCAATCAGTGACTTCTCCATTGTCCCAAACAATTACAGGTAAAAAAGTTTTGAAAATGTTTGGGACAATCGGGAAGATGTTTGTTGGACAATTGGAAGGTTTAAATGTAGACAATCGGGAATTATTTGTATAAGTGTAGCGGATAATTAATACATAACTGTGGGACTATCAGAATTCAAAAAATTATTAAAAAGTGGAACAATCAGGAATATAACTCTTAATTACATGTTTAACAAAAGACATTTTGAACTTGAAACAGAAAGAATAGTGCTGTTAGTTAGAATTTAAAGACTTGATTTAAATATATAAATAATCTGCTACAAGATACCAATTAAAAAACATTTGTGGTAAAACTAGATGTAAAAACACACATATTTTTGGCGATGAAACATGAAAACAGTGACCCTTTTTCCAGTTTTTATTATTCTTCTATTAATTTTATATAATGTTCTCTTTCAGCTGACTTAGTTTTTATTTTGCTCTTGATTGGACTTTTTTCAATTTGATGTAAACAACAAAGGGACATCATAGTTGCTTAATTGTGTAAAGTAATATTTTAGAATTGCATATTACTTTAATTTTCCTTCATATAAATAATTAGTGGAAAGCTTACCAGGAAAGAAAACCTTAAAAATGTTCATCCAAATGTGATCACAATGTCATGCAAGGAGTCATAATAAATATTGTTAAATTGCATCGCTCTTTCAGATTTTGCTGATAGGGTTCATTATGATTGAAAGCCACCAATATTGGAAATTAACTCTGTTACTATACTATCAATTTCAACCAATGCATATCTAGTTCCGAACCTGGTTAATTGTTTGAACTATTTGAAGTGCACAATGTATATGGTATCGATTCATAATAACGTACATCATGCTTCAATTTTCGTGTTTCAATCTAAAATTCAGACAGTGTTCTATTAACACATTACCAAAATTGAGAGGGTTAAACTTAATTATTTACATTGTTTGAATACAAAGTTCAAAATAAAAAAATGAACTTTAAAAAAAAATATATGTTTGGTATACATTGAAACTTGTTGACAATTAAGTTTGATAAGTTGATTGCGATTTTTCTGTTATTGTTAATGATAACAATAAGTTTTCAAATGATAATTTTAAATTCTTCTAAGTTCAAACACTGGATGACTCATGTTTAATTGAGTGTGACCATGCAATAATTAGTCGCGATAGGCATAAGATGCTAAGGTTCTGTACATATTTTGGGTAACATATTCAATGGGTGAAAATTGTCATTGAATGGTAATATGATTCAGTATTAATTTCGATCATGTTGACTCATTTGAAAGGAGTCAATTGTCGAATTCCGTAACATCGATTTATGTTTAGATTTTATTTTGTTGATTATTTTTGCTTCTTACAGTTTCCCGCTATCTTCTTTTATAGTTTTACACAAAAATTGGTAAGAACCTTAGTTCAAGGACAACTACCTCTATAAGAAGTTCACTGACGATTTCGGCCATCCTACTCATTTGCAGATCTTGTCTAGCTGATAATTTTTGCCGTATCAAGTTTCTGGCCAATTTGTAGATCCTATTTACTGCTCAAATTTTCTCTCTATCTATTTCAGTTTTCAAGATTATAGCCAAAAAAGCGCAAAAAGTGTGTTAAAACATCGATTAATGATATCCGATTTATGATATCAACCATGTAGTTTTATTTGAATAACTTGTCTTGTTGGTCATTTTTGCTATGGCACTTTATCTATAATAGTGTTCAAGGTATAAGCCAACAACTTCAAAATTATGCTAACCATCATGGACGTTTCATTTACAAATGCGTTGTGATATATTTCAAACAAATTCAGGTTCGATAAACCTTGAACTAATAATATGTTTTTGTTTTGTTAGTTTAGCTCTAACTGCTTTAGATTTTGAGATATAAGTTATACAGCTGCAATTTTATCCCTATGTTTTGATTTTTAATTGGCATGTAATTTAAGTAAACAAGGCTTTCTTTCAGCAGTCAACAAAAGTAGTAAGTATTCTCCTTGGAACTTCTTTTAATAATGCACAGGGTAATTAATATCGACCATTCATTAGTAAATAAATGCGTCAACATCAGGACGATCTATTGAACACATGGAACAGAACACAAGTCTGGTCTTTCAAAAACATGAATTAAATTGTCGAAAAAGTCCGTCTTGTCTGACACAAATTCAACAAAGATGGCAGTGATCAAATAAATGTGATTTCAACAAGCGGTGTCCCTAAAGGGATGTCACGTTTCCCTGAAGAACATAAAGGTTGTATAATAGTCTGCTTAGCAAAGGCAACAGTTTTCAAATTAATAGAAAAACTAAATGAAATTGCAAACATGTAAACAATCTCATGAGAAAACTCTACTTTCGAGAAAAGTATGAAGATACTTGTAACAAAGACAGTCAGTTTTATAACCATGGAATAATTATCAAATAAATGTTTGTTTGTTTTTAATGACAGCTGCAAGTTATGTGCCATCACAAAGGGCAGTCTAAGAGTAAAAAGTAAACGTCGTAACGTTTTGTTTGCCAACGAATAGGGTGAAACCGATGCTTCTTCTAGGGAGGTTGCCATGCTCTATGCACGTTGATAAAAACTCCCGCAATAGCACTTTGAGGGGTCTGTAGGTGGCCATTTTGCAAGGCAAATTTCTACCCCAGTCAAACTTTCCATCATTTACGAATATTCCGCCCTTTAATACAGTCGACCTTTATTACAAAACTTACACATAGCTTGCATTAATTGTTAATTTGCCACTGAACGTTAAGGAAGCAACATTCAATCATTCATATACATATATATCAAGAAGTCTAAAGACAATTGTCAAGCAAAAAATTGTCTCGTATAAGAAAAAATTAATTACACTATATATGTATATATCTAAAATTAAACAAATTATTTACCCACATACTATTAGTCCATCGACAATTATACAATCCAAATGTATACATCTCATAACAGTTATCCATATATCATAAATAACCATATTGTAAATAATTGCATAGTCTGTAAATAAAGAGAATTGTAGTAAATACTTATTTTGGAATATTGACAAAAATAAACTGCGATAATTCTCTTACCCTAAAACATGACCACAGTTTTAAATGAAAAAAGTTAAGTATTAAACAAGCCCTCCGTATCAATTTCTCGATATAAGTCAGGATTGGAAGCATACTTACGGTATAGATTTTAGATAAAAACAAATCTTGTGCAATTTACAAATGTTATATATTAGTTATTCTAATTTTCATTACATCAATTTCATTTTTCTTTGTTTAAAAACTGTGTAAATAAATACGATTTTCTTTTATTTTTCATGTATTACCATTTCTATAAATGCATTTCTATTTTATTAACAAATTCTTAATCCAAAGAATCATCGAATTTTTCAAACACTTTAGCTTTGATCCTCCCCCTTTTTGTATAATTGACAAATGTATACGTTATGTTACATTATACATCCGTAAAACTTTACAATTTTATTTCCTCATAAAAGGACGACGAACGATGAATTGCCCAAATAAGTTTCCCACAGCACGAAACTACACATTAAAAACACTTTGTCTGTCTTCAAAGAGTAAACATTTATCCTATCGACTCGTTCAGCAGGTGTAAGCTTTCGAAATGAATTTCAGAAAACTTATCCATGAAAACTGCTTTAAAATGGACATTTTGTAGCATTAGCATCGGAAGCCATCAATGGGTTATATCATGTTTCGGTCCCATCGTTATTGTCGACGTAGATATTGAGCTCGTTGTACGAAACGGTCAATTTATAATATTTTTTTTTTTAAATCAACAAATAGATAATTAACGTTTAAAACAGATAGGGGAAAATAATATTCATGCATTCTTTATTCGGGGCTTCTTTTGGCTGGTCCATGAGGTATGCATTTTAGATATGGATTAAAAGAATAGTGGGAAAATACAATTCCTATACACTTTTTTATTCGTGACCTAGCACTGAGGAGTGAATTTTTTTACTATATGCATTAAAGAGGGTATAATCCGCACTTCTTAGAAATAAGCAAAGGGCCATTAAAACTTCGGAATATATGGTCTACACTTATCAAATAATGATACTATAGGTCAAATGCACTTTTAATTTTTGTATTACAAAATATTTCAGCTTTCAGTTTTTATGCAGGTGAAAAAGCAGCAACTTTTATTGAGGAACCTTATATGCAACCTAAATTTTTTATAAATAAGTCTAAAATAAGTTATGTGCTTATTACATAATTGTACCTCTTTGAATAATTTTCAAACAACTTGTTTTTAAATAGCAATATTTTGCAGAAGTGTGGTCAACCCTCACCTCTCTAATTTCAACATTTTACAGCAACCAACGACAACCACTGAATAACTGCCTTGGAACAAGTCACCAATCTCGTTGGGGATTGTTGTTGTTCTTTTTATGTTTTTATATATTGTGTTGTCAGATATATTGTTGTTTCTCGTAAAGTTATTCGGAACTTGTCATTGTATTGTTAGACGAATGACAACCTGTAATCTGGACACTTGTCTATCGCTAACAGCCATTACGATCTTATTTTTGAAACCTTTTTTTTTTCTTTCTTTATTTGGTTGCTGTTTGAGTAACAAATACCCTCCACCTCTTCTTTATTCATCTTTATGAGTTTAGGTGTAAAGCAAACATTAAATTAATTTTCATTAAAATTTGGAACAATATATGTGGGTAAACATTATTGAAAACCAAAAAGAGGGACATTTAAAAAAAACATCAGTCCAATAAAAACAGACGACAATATGATCAGAAAATAACTCGACGAAAAGGCAAACAACAGTCCACAAATCTCTAAAACATTGAATTTAAGAACTCAAATGCTCCGGAAGGTAAAGCCATTTCATACTCCATTAGTGGCTTCCATTGATGGGTTCATTGCATGTAAAAATTCGGTGAAAGTTTGCTTTTTTGAAGTGGTCATCTGTGACATAAATATTCCAGAACCAATGCATGATTGTGTCCGTTAAACTTTCTAAAGGATGACTTCGACTTTTCAATTTTGAACCCTGAGCTCAATATCTCACTTGTAAGCAGCAACCATCTATCAACGAAGTCATGACAGGAAACGCAAGCCCTGGAATATTGTATCAAATGATGTATAATATATACTCAATATAGTGCAAAGTATGATTTGTCCCTTTCATAAACAAAATAGAATATTTTTAAAATCTCTCCAACGAAGCCTTATTGTTTTTTCTCTATATGTATTCTTCTTTTTCTTTTGCATATTTGGTTATCTAAGGTATTTTTGCGGAGATAAAATGGAGGTGGGCTTATTATTGAACAAATTTTAAAAGGAAGACTTAGTGTTCAAATTGTTATAGCTAGTTTTTCAAGGAAAGATTTATTACAGCTATTTACATAATCTCACCAAATAAATTGTTAATTGGCTGCGCACATACTTTGCCAATCGAAACTGTAATCAAAAATTAATCTAAAATTAATGTAAAACAAGGAAAATCAAGATATTCTGCCTAACATATTCAAATTCTGTTATGGTTTTGTTGCCATTGTCAATCTGTGAAATTGTCTTTATTTTTGAACTCCCGTTTAAGACCGCGTATGGTAACTTTTATACGCATATTTTGGATTTGAAAGAATGCAATTCTTATTTTTTTCTCAGAACAATAATAATTAGGAAAATTTACTACAAACCATATATTTATAGAATCATTATTACCTTAATATGAAATGGAACAAATGCATTTCAAAAGGTTGTGATTCCAATTAAGATAAAATTCCTAAAAGATTCTCGCACACATACATTTTTGGAAAAAGGATATGCAGCAACCTTATTAATCGCTCACAAATGTGTGTGACTGTCTGTTGTACGTGTTGTTCGTTAAGTTGTCATAAAATCGGGCCGTTGGTTTTTTCGTTAGAATTATTTCACATTTTGTCATGTCGCAGCCTTTTATAGCTGACTATACGGTATGGGTTTTGCTCGTTGTTGAAGATCTTACGGTGAACTATAGTTGCTTACATGCATGTCATATGAGACTCAAGTAGATGGTTTTCTCATTGGCAATTATACTACATGTCCTAGCAGTTTTTCTGTGTAACAATTAGATTTCAAAGGATGTGATTCCTAATTTGGTAAATTCCTTGGAATTCTCGTAGAACAATTGTAATTGGGAAATGCTCAATACAACCATTTATATATTTGGAAACGTTGTGATTAAAACATTGACATGGAATACTTAAATGTGTAAAGGACGTTATTCCCATTTTGGTAAATTTCCTGGAATTCGTTCAGGGCACCTAGCAACCATACATTTTAGAAAAGGTTATAACCTTCTTGATATTGAACAAATGAATTTCAGAAGGATGTGATTAAAATTTTGGTAAAGTTTTTTGAAGGAATCTCTGACATTTTTTTCAGAAAAGTACCTAGCAACTATATATTTAATTATTTACGGAATCATATTTACCTAAGCTTTCATATGGAACAATTAGTAAGATTTAAAAGGATGTGAAACCAATATGGTAAATTTCCGCGAAGTGTCATAAAACAATCATATATCTTAAGAAATATTTTACTAGTACTTAATGAAAAGACATTGGAATTATGTGCAGTTGAATCCTTTAGGTTCATACCTTCTCTATTTTCATTCTTAATTGAAACTAGACTCTTTGGTGACTCCTTGGGTTATACATATTTTTCCTTTTTCGGAGGGATATCCAACATAGATTTTTCTGTGTAAATACTCTCCAAAGGATCATGAATACACTCTTATTTTGGCATTCAATAACATTATTGGGAATATGCCCCTGATATGTTTTCTCACGTTAGGCATCAATAGTTTACTGATGTTGTAATCTCATACATCGATAAAGATAACAAATCAAGGTAACAAACAAAAACTGAGGAAATATCATATTCTCCAAAAGGAGCGGGCGAGACAGGGTGCATCGACAGGGTTAGCATCTCCTGCTGTGCATGCATCATCCGCCATGCGAATTCACACTCTGTCAAAATGTCACACTTTTCAGACTTTGTCTTCAAGACAATAACCCCAGACTAATGCCCCTTATGACAGACATAAGCCCCATAGTAAATAAGGTTATACCCGAACGGTGACCATTTAGTTGTTAACTTCTACGTCATTTGATCTGTGGTGAAGAGTTTTCTCATTGGCAATCATACCACATCTTCTTATTTTTATAGTTTCCCTCACACAAAAGCACCCCCATATAAATATTAAAGTTTTTGAAAAGTTAAACAAGTTGTAAATATGAAAATAAGAAGATGTGGTAAGATTGCCAATGAGACAACTCTCCACAAGATAAACTTGAGAATGGAAATGGGGAATGTGTCAAAAACAACAACCCGACCAAAGAGCAGAAAACAGCCCAAGGCTACCAATGGGTCTTCAACACAGTGAGAAAATCCCGCACCGGAGGCGGGCTTCAGCTGGCCCCTAAACTAAATCATGTACTAGTTCAGTGAAAATGGACGTCACACTAAACTCCGAAACATATAAATGAACTAAAATTAAAAAAACATACAAAACTAACAAAGGCCAGAGGCTCCTGACTTTGGACAGGCGCAAAAATGGGGCGGGGTTAAACTGGGGTTAAAGAGACGAAATGACACAGAAACAGTAAAAGAAATAGAACATTAATATAATGGAATATGTAGACAGTTATCTAACAAGCAAAAAACCCTAGCTGTAAAATATAAGGGCATACACTACAGGCATGGGGACACATTCTACTGCATCCACACAGCAAGAGTAACAAACCCTGCAGTAAATATAAATGACTACATGTTGATGGTGTTTGCGAAACCAAGGAGAAGGTGTGACTTCAGTAACTGACCAACAATTGAAATATTTGTTTAAGGTTATGGAAGGTATACACGTAAATACTTTTAAAGAACAGGGAAACGAGCCATGATAAAGCTTGTTAGTACGTGTTTGTTAATGCATTTATAAAAAGTCTGCTTTCTTAATCTAACCTTGGTTATTATAGCTGATTTTAAAAATACAGACAACTTTTGTAATCTCAAAGATAATCGAACTGACAAAGTTTAGTTGTATAAAGCAGGAATTATGAGAAATAAAGAGTAAATGTGATGCAATTATATCAATATACTCTGAAATAACAGGAATTGGGAAATAAAAGAGTTTGAGATAACGAGAATCAGCTGATATTATTTATTTTTCTTTCTATTGATCTTCAATTAAAGGCAAATAAATAATATTGTTGTTATTATGATAAATATCTTATTAGTATTATGAAATGACTAAACAAATAATATTCCTTAACAATCCGGACAAATGATATTGACTAAAATCCGTGATGCATCATTCCATCAGCACCTGTGTGTTCAGTATGTATCTTCCAGTTGATACACTTTTCTAGCGCTTGCGTTTCCAATCATCAAGATTTCTTTGTTATTAGGGTTACTGTTTACAAGGACGTTATTGAACCAAGGATTCCAAATGGTCAAGTGGAAGTCATCCGTTCGAAAGCTTTACAGACGCCATTGTAATTTGGTTTTCCGGTATGGAATATGGGTGTCACAGATCACCGCGGATATGTAACCACAATCCTGTCCTCTTTTCCCCGATTGCAACATTTATTACCTAATGCATCTTATCAACGTATAATTCGTACTTGCAATGACTAACACAACGTGTGACACTAGTGTAGCAGGCGCTGCTTCACTTCGGGGGCACTTGGATTCTTCCAGGGTTCTTGAATGGTCTGGACTCGTGTTGTTTCTGTGTAATGTGTTGTTATTGATGAAGGCTGCTCTCCTTTTTTTTCTTTTTTTTTTTTGGCCGAGGTGTTGTCTTTTAATGGTCTTATGATTTTTTTATTGCCGACGTGGTGCCTTTTCTCTCTCTTTTTGAACCTTTGTTCATTATTTATCTTTTTTAGTAATTCAAATGTTGTGTACAATTAGGTACATCACGTAAATAGCAATAATATGCATCTAATATTTAATGGACTTCAAACGCTGACGAGTTTTTGGCAACACCTACGTACTCATCAGTAAACGAGGAAAAATTGTATACATCTGATATCCTAATAGTGATTTCTTTTTTAATATAAATAAACTTCAAGATAAATTTGATTTGTAATAACGTGCTTGCTGTAAATTATCTCTTATTTCTATCGAATTTAAATATCATATTGGACATAAATCAACGGTTTTTTTTACAAAAAAAAAGATAATGAATTTTACATCATTTTAAATACATCAATAATAATTATGCTACATAGAATTCATAACAAATGACTCAAAAAACTTTCCGATCACAGATTCAGAAAATATACGATTAAGATATTGAAAATCTTTTCAGGAGATATTTCGTTGATTTAGCATACCTTCACTAGTTGAACTAACTAAAAATCGAAAAACTGTAACAGACGGATTTCATTCACGATTGTCATCTGTTATCCCTAGTCTAGGTGAAACTTCCGAGTAGGAAGCAGATATTGTTGTTACTTCCTAACTTACTCGGATCATGGAAGTATTATATAATACTTCGATGTTCGGATATAGACAAATTTCGACTGTCCAGATGATGTTCACAGCACGAACTGCTTGTAATAAATGACACATTCTAACCGCGACCTTTTGATAATTTGAGTCCAATATACGTGCCGTGTGCAGATTGCCGTCCCTCCTCTGACTCGGATACGTGGAATGAAGTATATCTTTAAATGTATTAACATCTCTTGAAAGTACATCAAATTTAATTGGGGCAAAATCTTCTCACTTTTTTAAATTCATTTTGAGTCATTTTATCAAATATTTTTTGCAAATTTTTTTTAAAAAAACAAGATGAAACACATATGATTTAATCTTATATTTTTGCATTTTGCATATTTGTTAAATTCAACAGGTAATTCCGGATTAAAATCAAGCCTGTGTGTAAGCGACCTGTGTTAAATCAAAATGTTATTTAGATTAACTAAGTACAACTTTACATCAAGGACTGCGTGTTAAAAACATAATTAAGAAGTGTGCGTTTTGTGTCTTAGAAATCAACTTCTAAATGTTAGAAGACTTACGTAACATGTGGCTGTATCAATTTCCCCTGGACCCTTTTCCCCCAAATCTTTAACAAAATAGCTTAACTGAATTTAAAGATAACTTTTTGATCAAGTGTGTATTTGAAAGTTCTAATTTGTTCTATGTTCTAATATTATCACTCAAAACATTATTGCACAATACATGAACATGATTTATATGAAAAGTGATAGTCTATTTTATGTGTACCAGCCAGAAAACAAAATTCCAGAGAATGGCGTCATTTACAGATTTCCATAAATCGCAACATGTTCTGGTGGATTTTATGCAAATGTGTTACCTAACTTAGCATCTTTGTGACCGACCATTTTTGCCAATATTTTGTCCTCTTATTATCTGTTTCATTGCTAGTCCCACTTTTTTGCTCTGATGGATTGCCCTGCTTGACGGACTGTGTGGCATCGTGAGATCTGAAACTTTAGTTTTTGTTAGAAAATATTTTTTATTCTTGGACCGTTGAGATTTAAACGATTCGGTGAATTGATTTCTCTGTGTAGTGTCGTTTAAATTGAATCGCACTTTCTTCAGTAAAGGTTTTTGTTCTCTTGATTCTATGATATTATATTTTTGCAACTGATTTTCCTCTTTGAAATATTTGTCATCTGCATCTATTTTCACATTCTTGTTTGTTTCATCGTGTACATTGCGAGAAGTTTTTGCCACGTGATCTTCTGATATTTTCAATTCGTCCTCAAAATTTGTCAATGTTGTTTTTCTTGTATCGTTTCGTTTTGAATTTAATTCTTTGACTTTATTTTCAAATATATCCTTGGATATCGACGTAGATATCAACGGAGGAGAACATTCTAAGGAATCCAACATATTATTTCCCGGTTTGTTAACTTCGTACACCATGTCAATAGAGTTCGTTGTACTTTCTTCACTCAAAATGAACTTAAGTTTATCCCAGTTTTCCGAGTTTCGCATTGCTTCCTCCGAAGATCTATGTTTATATTTAATGCGACCGCCATAATATTCAGGACTTTTCGTCAGAGGGGGGAGACGCACTATATTACTTTTCTGTCTCGTCATTGCTGTTCGAAAATGTTCAACTGCGTTCTGAATGGAGGGTAACATCCTAGGTGAACTATTGGTCAAGAAATGTTCTCTCTTTTTGGTTTTCATAGTTCATTCATTCTCAAGACTGTATCTTTTCTTAAAAATATTTGTTTGTGAAACATAAATGTTGGTTATTGCTGTAATATGGAATACATGTAGTTGATTGTCTTTTTGCTGCTGTATTTTCGGTAATATTTGTTTACGTCAGACCTTGCGTTACGTCTACATCTAAGATGTCCTTCAAACGAAATAAAAAAAGTATTACTGGAGTTAATATGTAAAAACTATTATGATGCATCAGTGTTTAGATAGATAAACTAATGGCAGATGAGGGTTGGAGAACGTATTGAATAAGTAAATACACGAAATACATACGTCAATGACCACTCAGTGGATAATATAGTGATACACTTTTGATCATCAATGCTCTCCAACTCCGTACTTCATATGACCTTTTAACTTTTTTGATTCGAGCGTCACTGATGAATCTTTTGTAGACGAAACGCACGTCTGGCGTGCAAAAGTTCAAGCCTGGTATTTATGATGAATTTATTGCTAAAGGTATTTTCTAGTTAATCAAATGATTAAGAAATTTTCATTGAGTTGGTGATACCATGGAAGTCAATATAATACCTCCATGGTGATACTAGGACTTGTAGCAGATTCGGATTATACAAGTTATCATTGATTATAGAGTTCTCTACTATTACCATCCATGGATTATTCCTACTTAAACTAACATTGATAATAAGGTTACTTCTAAAATTACCGGAATTTAATCAAGTTTAGTCCTTTTAAAGATTTTATACTGAGAATTATTTGCTGTATCTAGTGATATAGTGGCCTGATAACACAATTAACTCCTTTCATTTTTCGTGATAAATATAGTTTCCTTAAATTTCAGTGTATTTTTTCTTAATTTTTTCTTTGCCTTTTCATTGATTTTTTTTTCCTATTTTTTACACCAATACCGATGTCCTTATGTTTTATGTTGCCATGAGAAAATGAGATGATGAAATTTTCTAATTTTTATATGTTTTACGGTAAATGTCAAACTTGATGATCACCAAATCGCAGGTGGGATTTTTTTAATTGCCATTGTGTTATAATACTAGTAAACAAATAGGGGAAAATGATTGGGTTATCGGGCCTAGTGTGGATAATTTCTTATGTCGTTTATGATATTCTCTCCGTATACGTGTTTATGGAATGATATTTTCAACTGCACTCGTGTTCAAAATTTCGTGAAGTTTTATTCACCTAATATAGAAGAGTTTCAAAACCAAAATTGGTCAAAGTAAAACAGTTGATATCGCCCTATATAAAGATGCAACTTTAATGTTAGTGTAATCTGAAATAAGGAGTGCTTATTCAGAACATAACTTGGGGTATTAAATGTCAATCTGAACAGAATTTCTCTCCTACTTAATCTTGACCTATGAGTGTATCCAGTGTGCATTTTACCCTATAGAATGTTGGATGTGGAGTAAACTAAAATAAATAACGAACCTAATACAAATATATTGATTTTGCCATCCATATTAATCTTTTTCTTTTGCATGGTAACCAATTATCAATTCGACGAATTTAAGAAACTAAGCAAACATAAAAAAAAACCAAACTGACAAACTAAGTACAACATCATTACAAATACCTGGTGTTGCGATGTGTATAGTTTTTAATTGAAGAATTCAAATGAAAACAATATTCTTACCATGACTGAATTAGCTTCCAAAGAATCAATTTATCACGACTGATTACTGAACTTCCACTCTAGTAATTCTTGTATGTGTTAGAAATTCATTTTATTGTTAGATGTATCGATCTATTGCATTATATAAAGTCTATCAACAACATTCCATGTTTCTCTTTTATCTTTTGCAATATCCGTTTTTACTAGACCGACAAGCTGAGCCAGATTATAAAGTTCACAAGGTAACAAATATGCAGGAAGACATGTCACCCTACCCAGACAAATTATTCCGAGTCAACCAATCTTTTGCTCTTATTCCGAGACTTAGCGTATAAGAAGTAGATACACTTTTAAAATCTTCGGCTTCCGATATCCGGTCACGGCGGGGATGGAACCAACAAATTCCCGCATCTGAGAAATCTCGCAGGCGGTTTTGCTTGTTGTGTGTAAGCGTATATTGAGAAAGGTTGTTTTTTAGCACTAGAACAAACAAAAACAGAAAAGACGCCTGGATATGTAGCTTAAGGTAGTACCAAACACCTTTACTAAAATTAATTTGCCCGGCTCGTTTAATTTTCATAAAATTTTGACAAAATATTTACTTTGACCCTTTGACAAAAATATAAAAAAAAATCAAAAAACTTGAACCACACACTTTATCGGAAAAATTTCATTGGATATATAGCAGTTTGACAAACACTAATTTTGATAATTGAAAAGCTTAATATTTCCTTAACAATAGAACGTGATTAAAACGTTCATCTGATTTTTACAGAGTTATCTCCCTGTAGTGTTATATACCACCTTAACATACAGTCATAGACAATTAGCAAGTGTCGTTACTATATATGCCGTTCAGTTTTAGGCATTTAAAACTTGAGCTAACAGATATTATACCAAAGATTAACAATCATGCTAGCCAGTTATACTAAATTCTATTTCGCCAAAACACATTAAGTTTGTTTTTCGATCCGAGTTATGAGTTTGAATATCCCTTTGGTATCTTTCGCCTTTCTTGATACCCATTCTTGTTCTTCAATACTATGGGGTTTGAGCAATCCTGGTTACAGAAAATCTAGACGCAAGAATTTGTTTATGATAAAATAAAATATCAAGCTTATGATACAATTTTACGCACGACGAAAAAAATAGTTTTAGTAAACCAATATTAAACAATACAGAATATAAGAATTTTCAAAATTACTGCAAGCAACTTCAAAATATTTAATTTGCTGATATATAAATCACGTTTATTTACATACAAATATATATTGGCTGCTGTGCTTCATAATAAAGATTTCATTTAGTAACACCAACAACGGGATAGAAAACAACGATCTTTTGCACTTCGTAACTTAGTTGGCCTTTTAACTTTTATGATTCTGAAGTCACTGGTGAGTCTTTTGATGACAATTTGTAAAGATTATCTCTACCTCTATTTGGTTTGTTTGTGTGGTTGGATTGTTGTTTCATTGACTTATTCCAACATCACCTCTTATTCATGCTCGACCATATCGATGTATGGTCGTGAAACTTAAAAATCATCAGAAAAAAAATAGTCTTAATATTCTTTTAAATTTAAGACGAACAAAACATAAAAAAAAAACTTTTCTATTAAGTAATGCCATTCAGTGAAATAGACATCGATAAACCAAGATCTTCGTATGCCTAGCATGTGATATACTTTAGTAGCTTACCTTAATATGTAAACTTTTCAGCCATTAATGATTCTCGTTAATTGAGTATTGATATTTTGTATGGTGTACTGGTAAATATTTTATAAGGTTGAAACTGACTTGGCTTGGTGTTATTTATCCACTATGACAGACAACAATAATGTTTTTGTTAAACTGTTAAAGGTCTTTAAGGTGTACTCTGTATCTTGATAAATCATATTAACACCGTTTGATTTTACAAGATAACACCACAGTGTAAAAGGACCTATTATATACTGTACCGTGTGCATTTTAATATTATGCCAAATTTAATTTATGGATTGTTTTATGCTGAATAATAATTTATTGAGTCATAATAATGAATTGGTCTCGCTATTCCTTGTGTTCCGTTCAAAATAGAAACAGTGAGATTTTATTCCGAATATATTTCCTTTGGTTGAAATAAAAAGGTACTTTTTAGTACTGCTGAAACAATAACGCCTTATAAATTGTCTACCACACGGACGTATTATATTGACCATATTGTCAATATGATATTTCAAATTGCAGTGTCACGGCCATATCTACAAATTAGCCATCCTTATTAAGGAGAATAAGTCCGGATATGAAAAAAAAACTAAAACAAACGTAATATAAATATGTATTTTCTATGGAAGCCCGTTTAGGACCTCCCAAAAATATAAATTGAATTCAATATCACGAATTAAAATCGTTATCACGAATTGTAGAATTCCTTATCACGGATTAAATTCGTTATCACAATTTTTGGTAAGTCGTGATAACGGATTAAAATCGTAATACCGAATTTTATAAATCGTATTAAAAAATTTTATCAATCGTTAGAACGAATTAAATCTGTTATCACGAAAAGCTGATATTATAGTATTATTCTATTATTCATTATTTGTGCGTCGAGTAGAATTGTTACCATGCTAACTAGCGTGTATAAAACCCGAACAGCTCGTTGGTTTAGTACAAAACAAGTTAATATTCTCGTTCTGATATGTATGTAATATTTGCCAATAAGCGTTAGCGCCAATTCATCATCATCGAATATAACTGGTAAAAGTTGGCAATAATCTTTCAGAATGGACGAAAGGAAATGTTTGTATTTTCATTTTCAACACTTATAATGTTTATTACAAATTCAAACATTGAAGACCCATTGGTAGCCTTGGGCTGTTTTCTGCTGTTTGGTCGGTTTGCTGTATCTTTGACACATTCCCCGTTTCCATTCTCAATGTTATGGATGATATGAGAAATCCCCGTGTAAGCTCTTTTAATGTTAGGCTGGTACTTAATCGTATCAAAGTATTATGTGTGTACTTGATGCATTTTAGTAATTATCCTACATAATTTAAGAAATGGAAAATGTAGCGCTGTACTGATCGTATTAAACTAAATATGATGAGAAATTTCTAGGTAAATTCTGAACTAATGACAAACTGATATTGAAAATTACCTCCCCTTTTGATTATTGATTTTACTGAGTAGACTTAAATGAATTGAAACAACTGTCCATCAGGAAATGAAGTGTATCTTAAAAGGAAAATGCCAGGAGAATAAAAACCCTTAAGAACCACCCAAGGAACTCAGAACATGACAAAACAAGCACTGTTGACCTTACGATTCCACTTTTCTTGTCACATATTGTCTTTTGCAAATTGCACACGTAAAGTAAAAACAAATGAGGTTTCTTTATTTAAAACACATATATAAGCCAACAAATAGTGTGTTTTTAAACCTGCATGCTATTTTGTGTACCTTCAATATGCAGTTGTAAACGCACTTGTGACTAACCTTTGGTCGAAACTCAATATACATGAAAAATAAGCCACTGGGCGTTAACTAAAGAACATCCAATCAATCAAAAATAAGGCACCGTTTAAAACTCTTATATTTTCATAGTCTTATAACCATAATAGTTAACTTTAACAACAGAAGGCGAAATTACATCACAGCATTCAAATTTACATTGAAAACATAGCCAAATCGAGATATTTGATGAATTGACTATATAGTGACAATGCAATCTAATTAAAATATATAGTTCTCTGATTTCGTTTTACTCATATAAGCGTACGAGCACGCGAGTTAATATAGGTCTGAATTTTAATCAGATTGGTGACAACGCATATCATTGCTACGAACTGAGAGTTCATGAGTATTACTGCGGTCATATTCTGATGTGATAAATAGAAATCAGGGTAAATTGTGACATCTACAGACAAATCACATTTTAGTATACAAAGCGACATAACTCAAACCTCAAAAGATTTACTGTAATGACCTTCAATTTTATAGATATTTAAAGTGTGAACTCTTCTACAGTTTACACTTCATATTTTCAGATAGTCATAATTGTGTATTAATGTTTGAAAGAGAACTGAATAAAAAGGCTATCGTAAGACAAAACAAACAAACTTGTCTGGAGTATAGTAAAGAAAGAATAGTATACATATAGAACATGCTAGAGATTTTAATTGATAACTATATAGCTGAATTCGTTTGAGAGATTTTCCGACAGACGATTGATATTCCAATGGGCAATTCATCTTCCATCATCTAGCTCGTACGTCACAGAGTTGATCAAAATCGCTATCGAATAATGAAAAGATGTCAGCCAACTGAAGTCATTTGTAACTTCTGCAATATAGATGGAATACATTTTCTGAAAATATCAAATTGAAAAGTTATCTACATAAAAAGTAAAAAGATACCAAGGGGGAAATTGAAAATCATTAATCAAAGCGAGTAAAATATGAACAAGTAGAATAGACAATTATCGTCAGAAGGATAAGAAATTCTTTTTTTTAACAAGCAATTTTCGTCGTGTTACTCATTTTCTTCTCATTTTTTCTAAAATTAGTAAGAAATATGACACTATTGAAACAAAAGAAAATGAATGGATATGGAGTAAATGTACATGGGATAAAATCGCACACAATACATAGAAAACATAGAAAATTATCAATGAGCAGGGCTTTTATTCCTGTTGACAGTTGATGTAGGGTCTTCAACAATGAACGAATCATTCATACCCTACAACAAGATGAAGACGGCCCCTAGCGTCGACTTAAGCGGTACTATTGATAAAAATAAACCACAGTCCTTAAGGCTTTTTGTTTATATCAGCAGTTGCACAAATTGTCGTCTGCACACAAATATATGTATGACAGATGTGGTGTTTTTGTTTTGAAAAAAGTATTTTTTTGTTTTTCTCCGTAGCAATTTATCTGAATCACCTATGTTTGGTTTATATTCATTTTACAGTTGATCCGCTTCTCAAGAGCTTGTATTTACTTCAGTCACTTCCTTGGGGAACACAATAACTGTCGCATTAGCTGCTTAGTCAGAGCTCAGTACTAACTGGTATCGTTTCTAGATTGATAGGCCGAACGTGATCAAGTGTGTATGTCACAGTTTGCCTCTGATAGCTATTTTAAAGTGTTCTAGTTGTGTTTATTTGCATTTATGTGTTGACATGTCTTCCGCTTTTACATTTTTTTTTACTTATGGGTAAAACTGAATATTATTGATCTATGAAAAGTTACATTCGCTATGAATTAAGTAACCGGCTTTCATCTTGAGATTCCTTTTTTCTATATAAAAATAAGATGAGGTATGATTGCCAATGAGACAACTATCCACCAAAGTTCAAATAAAGTGGATGTAAGCAATTATAGGCAATTGTACGACCTTCAACAATGAGAAAAACCCATACCGTATAGTCGGCTATAAAAGGCCCCGACATGAAAAATGTAAAGCAATTCAATTGAGAAAAATAACGGTCTAATTTATAACAAAAACAATTAACGAAAAACAAATATGACAGACATGTACCAACGACAACCACTAACTGCAGGCTCCTGACTTGGGACAGGCAGATAAAGAATGTGGCGGGGTTAAACATGCTTGTGAGCGCTAAACCAAGTTGTTTTTTTTTAAATGTTAATTGTATTCCTCGAAACGACGTCGATGTGAAAACTGCAGGTTTTTTTTCAAATATGACAATAATGTCATCTTTCATAGTGAGTTTTCTGTTTGTTTTGTTGTTGTTTTTTTTTTATGTTTTGCCTCGTTCGTGACGGCGTTTTCTATTACCTTGTTAACAAATTTGAACAAAACTTAATTGTTCCACAAATGTTAAATGGTCGTTACTTTATTACCGAAAACGAAGAAAATTTGTGAAATAGTTTTGGTCACGGTAAAAGTTAATCATTTTCATGAAAAATTCAACATCACTTTCACTTACATTGTTTGAGTTCATAGAACTACTTTTCGTGTAAAGTTCCAGAGATAATGGGTTTACTTTGATAAAATATTCATGAGACAGATAATTTTCTTTATAGGTATGAACGATAGAAAGGCTTAATGAAGTTGTTATATATTTCATCACGACATTGATATATCTTAGTGATGATAGAATAACAAAACATTGATGGGTTAATAGAAAAATCAATTAAGATTCATAAAATCTTAGGGCATTGTGTAAAGTGTGGAGAAAAAATCATTTCATCACTTTCATTGACTGTTTTGTTAAATAAAGAAAATAACTCTTTAATAAATTTAGTGCATCCGAAGCGCTTTCTTGATTCACCTTCATCAGGCCAGGCTCAACCCCCTCCCACTTTCCCAATAAAAATACTGCAAAATAAAGTTTAGGCATTTTAGATCACATGTACTATCCTGTGGGCTGAGTAATTGCTGTTTCTCCATTCCATAGCTTCTTGATATTATATCTCCAAGATTTTTGTTTCTTGGAGTAGCTACTTCTTGGATATTCAACTTAACCTTCCTGTTGCCAAAAAATAGAGTCAACAACATTGAGCGGGCAGGGAGGGGGTATTATTAGTACACAATTGGTAAAAGCACAGCTTGTTTACTTCTGATTTACAAATGAATTCTATTAGAGGCAACAGTAATTTACCGCCCACGTCTTCCGTAACACTTTAGAAAAAAGTAAAATAACAAAATACCGAACTCCAAGGGAAATTTAAAACGGAAAGTCATTTATAAAATGGCAAAATCAAAAGCTCAAACACATCTAACGAATGGAAAACAACTGACATATTCCTTACTTGGTACAGGCATTTTGTTATGTAGAAAATGGTGGATTAAACCTGGTTTTATAGCTAGCTAAACCTCTCACTTGAATGACAGTCGCATTGAATTCCATGATATTGACAACAATGTGTGAGCAAAACAAATAGACATAATAGGTAAAAACGTCAAAAATTGGGGTACAGCAGTCAACATTATAATATAATCTTAATCACTATAAAACAAATAACTGTTTCAACAAAGAAACACAAAATGGCATATAGACAAAGTACATAAGCAAAAATGAAAGACAAGAATTCAAAATTGACCATAGCACAATAACACAATGGCGGGATGTATAAGTACCGAGCCACGTCATGAGTATAATAAAAAGTGGACTAAACAGAAAAGGTTAAATATATACAAGGACAAAAAAAGGCAACTTCGTGCTTCTTTCCTTGTTCTGAGAATTTGGTGATTGGGATATTGTTAAAACTTGGTTTAAAATTTTCAAATACTAGTAACATTTGTCACTATATATATATTTGAAATGATTTCATCCGTATTCCTAATGTGGGTAAACTATTTCCTCCTAATGGGCACAAAGTAGATATATTTTTAACGAGTCACGAATGAAGCACTTAGTAATAATCTATTCTTGGGTGGTAATTAGAACTGTGTTTAGAAGGTTTTTTTTATTTAGTACATTTCAGAACCCACTCTCACATCAATACACAAATGTTTCTTTTCTCCTTACAAACATTATGGCGTGTTTAAATAACACAAAATATATTTTATTTGATTTTACTATTTGACTACTCGTATTCGATATATATCATCTTAAGTTTTTATGTTTAAAGTTAGGATTGATATATTTACTGTATCTTAACATTTTTTGCACATCTTTAGTATTAGCCCGATTAAAACCGCCAGCAAATCCGTGTGTCTTACGGAAATAAGATAGTCTATGTGCAGTAGAAAATGGATCAGGGTTTACATCGGTATGTGAAGATTTAGCACTAAAATGTCGGCCATGATTATAAGCATTGCTAATACTTTTGTCTGATTGTACTTCAATGTGAACTTCATTGCTATTTGTAACTTTTCGCCAGCCAACTTTACTGCTAGTAGGTTTGGAGTTAGTTGTTCTGTTCAGTAATTCGTCGGTACAAGTTAAAACTACCGGTAATTCGTCAGTCTCGTTAAAACATTTGTCTTCATTCTTACTTTTAGCACTTCCGTCTCGAGAATCTGTCCTCTGTTGAAGTTTTATTCTTCTTGAAATAGATTTCGACATTAATGGCGGCGCACATGAAAGTGAAAGATAATGTTGTTTTGATGGCTTATTAGTTTCATACACGATGTCTATATAATCAAGATCGATTTCCTCATCGAACACTGTCCGTAATCTTTCCGTATTCTTTGAGATCTTTTCTAACTCGTCTACGCTTCGGTGGTGGTATTTCAATCGATGTTCATCACTGTTGTCTAAGAAAGATTGTCTTTTATTTAAGGGGACTGAAATAGCTACTACTTTTGGAGCGTCTGTTTTTCCTTTAAAGTGTCTCACCGCATTATCAACGGATGGAAAATAGTTAAGAGGAGCTGACAAATTTGAGTTTTCCCTATAGTTGACACGATGCAAGCTTGATTCTGAACTTGCACGTTTAAATGGACGAATGAAGCTTTGTTCCATATTCTCATATACTATGGTTTTCAGTATACTCCCAAAACTATCGTTTTTATCTTCAGTAGATTTAGAAAACTGTATTCTTGTTATTATTGATTTATCATTCACTCGTGTTAAATCTTTTGGTCTGTTCTGCAACAAAATGAAAGAAAGTCATTAAAAATATAGTATGTTTTCATTAAGAAATGCATTACAAGCTGATTTTTCAATGAGATGTTCTTTACATATGATGTAACAAGCTCTGATATGAAAGTATGTGAATCTTTTAAAGTTTAATTGATCAAATCTTGTCAGTTTTTAAGTCGTCAACTGAGATTAAAATTCTTTTCAGTTGAATGCAGCCGTGAAGATTACAAAACAAAATCCTATTTACCACCGTTACATAACACCGCCGGAAGAATCGTCGATTTTAATAGACATTGCTCGTAGTAACTGAAATTATCACCGTTTTCAGTTATTTGTCTTCATTTCAAATAGATTGTTATTTGAAGATTCAACTGTTTTGAAATATCGTAATCCTTGCGCAAAACTACGTACAGTCCGTCGGTCCCGTGTACGGACAGTGATGTGAGGCTAGCTTTAAGATGTATTACTATGTACACTAATGTATATGAGTACTTTATACGTTTTTTTTCATTATTAACAGGATTTTCATTAACTTTATCCTATTATTGTAAACTACTTCAATAGAAACGGAACCACATTTCGTTATTCTCAAATAAATGGCGGGTGAACGAAAATATAATAACTATTCGGGGCCTTAGATTTATAGCTGACTATTCGGTATGTGTGTTGCTCATTGTTGAAGGTACATCGACCTTTATTTGCTTAAATCCGATTCGTTTGGACTCTGTTGGAAGGTTGTCTCATTGGGAATTATACCACATCTCTTTATTAGATATGATAGAAAATATCCAGAAAGATCCATATATGATATATGTATATTAGACACCCCCCCCCCCCCCCCCCCCCCCCATGTTACCTGATTGGGTGTATTTATAATTAACACCAAGATATAATTGTTAATGCATAATGATAGACTTCATTAATTTAGGAGGGTGGTCTTTCAGCTTTTCGACTTAGAAAAAAAACATGACAAGTGCAGGACATCCAATTGCATTTAATGTCATCTTGGTGTAAGTTCCAGTAGGCTGGCATACATGTGTTTCTCTTATTCTGTTTGCATTTAAACCAGTTCTAACCAGTTTGGTAAATTTTGATAAACCTTTATTTAGTGCTTATTCTTATAATATTATCATGTATGTTTATGTGTTTCTGTATACCATTGTATCAACAAAGTTTTTTTTCAGAATAAATATATATATATTGAGTGTCCGATCCTCCCCTTTTTTTAATTTTATTTTACTTTCACGTTCATTTTATATCATTCATTTTATGTTTCTTGATTCCATATAACCTTTTCGTGCTGATGAGAAATCACAAACAATCAATTAATCATATTAAAAATATCAAAAAGCAAAATATAAACATTAGTAAATATTGTAAAACTTTTTACTTACAGTTTTCAGTCAAAGGTTACACACCATTTTTATATAATTTCTTGAAAAATGTGAATTCAATTTTAATAACATAACAGAGAATGGATTTTTTTATCCATTGAGTTCCAAATTCCGTAGTTATCCGTCACGTGACATATATTCCAAAATTAAGTCAGTAGAATATCAAATGTTGCAAAACAAGTATCAAGTGTAAATGAATGTCAAACTTTTCTTTTTAGATTATATTGTGCATATCTAATTATCTATTACTTAACGCGAGAGTTTAAATAGTCATTAGGTTTGTCTGTGTCTATTGACCGGAAATAATATAAAGAATTGAAAAACAGCACTGTTTGACTTTAACCATGTAATGGAACACTTCTTTTGCTTTAAAACCAGGTTCAATCCACCATTTTCTGCATAAGAAAATGCCTGTACCAAGTCAGGAATATGACAGTTGTTATCCATTCGTTTGATGTGTTTGAGCTTTTGATTTTGCCATTTGATTAGGGACTTTCCTTTTTGAATTTTCCTCGGAGTTCAGTATTTTTGTGATTTTACTTTTTGTTATGACATCATGATACTTTCGATACTACTAGAAAGAAATAGAATATTGTTGTGTTTTTAACTTAGATTTGCTTATTCTTTTTGGTAATATTCAGATCTGAAAACTTAATGTCATTGAAATATTTGAGTATGTTTTCCAATGAATAAAATTAGGAATATGGAGCCTCTAAACATATGAACAAAGGCGACCATTTTGAATTCAAGTTATTACTAATGTGACTTTATTTGACTTTCTGCTAAAATAATTGATACATTTTACAAGTTTGACGAAAACTGAGCCAAAGCTAGAAAATATACGAGACGTGTTGAAAGTATACTTCGACAGATAACGAAAGTTGATCCTTAATTAGCGAGCGAGGTGCTATCGTCTTCTATTTAAGGAAGCTGCATTCCTAAACAGCAGATTTTACATTCTTTTTCAAAAATCAATCGAACGTTTAACTTTTGCCAGGGTTATATTTTATATTCTAAGAACACTATGACAACGAGAAAGATATTTATAAATGATAATGTTATTGTCCTATTCACCTTCCTGTATTATTTACAGAAAAGTTTTTTTTATCCCTGAACATTTTCCTCTTAAGCAAAACAAATCCATTAAAACTTGAGTGATTTATTCATAAATCGTGCAACCAAAACTTGTTTGATTTCTGGCAACCATAATTTTCTTATATATGAACCTCCAAAATGTTTTTATAATACTAACAAAAGCTTATTTCAGTTGCACATGAAGAACAGTAATATTAACAGATAGTTTTTAAAGTTAATTGTTAAAAGTCCCAACACGAATCGGAAAACATGATCATTTTGAGGTCACAAAATTCAAAAACCTACACTGATGACAACAATATCAATGGAGAAACGGGGAGTTAAACCAGATTGAAAGACACACAATGTGGTTTTCCTTGTACGACCGAAGCAATGCATTACAGTTTAGGTCTTGTATTTGATTGGACATTTGAGTTGATTTCAAGTATGGTAATCTGATGCAATGATTAATGACTTTGACTATGCTCAAGAGATTATTTCTTGCTATTTTATTTTGCAGTTATTGTCCATTAGAAAGAAAATGGTTTGTAAAAAGTGTTACAATTCCTTTATTGTTGTTCAGGTTGCCACTTAATAGCCTGATTCTTTCTTCAGATGTTGATGATATTATTAAACATATTCTGCATCATCAAGAAATCTGTGTCTGATTTCTGAGAGAAATATAATTCGAGTCTTGCATTATCAGCTATCAATTCTGGTGAAATATAAAAACTCATATATACTTTCATTTTGAACATAAAAACGTAAAAAGCCTACTGAGTTTGAGCATATTGAATGTTTTCTCGTGATTATCTCTTACAAAGCCTTTTTCTGTTCCCATGCAATTGATTAGGCATACATGTAACTAACTTTCGTTATTCGTCGTCATGGGTACTATAGTCAAGTAACAAGAAGTTTTTAAAAAAAAGAGGTGAAGTGATTCGTTTAGATTTTTTCTATCAAATATGTATACTTATAGATCTAAAAGCTCTGTGTATTTTAGACAGAAACGACAATGTTGATCTAAAATAAAATAAAACATTCAACAGCAAAATATCAGACCCCTAAAGTTATTTTTTCTAGAATTTAATGTGTTTTGATAAATCCCTTTAATCAGAAATCTCGAGTCGGTAGGTCATACAGAGTGGCTGATGTATATGACAGTTCATACAAACCTGCTGTCGTAAAAAAATACATGCTGTAAATTAATATCCCACTTTGTGCTGTTAAGCTAAAATCTAAAATCTGGAATATGGTACTTTGCTGATAATTTCAGAAATTAGATAATACACGAACAATTGCCGTCCGAGAAAAAATACAAACTATAGTCTAGCATGCAAATAAAAGAAAACAGAAAAAATAGTGTATCAATTCATGATACAAATATAAAAATAAGAAAATGTGGTATGATTACCAATGAGACAACTCTTCACCAGAGACAAAATGACATAGAAGTTGACAAATATAGGTCACCATACGGCCTTTAACAATGAGCGAAACCCATACCGCATGCATAGTCAGCTGAAAAGGCCCCGAAATAACAAATGTAATATAATTCAAAGAGAAAACTAACGGCCTGATTTATTTACAAAACAATGAACAAAAAAACAAATATGATATGCAGCAACAAATGACAACCACAGGTTACAGGCTCCTGACTTGGGACAGGCACATACAGAATGTGGCTGGGTTAAACTAGTTTGTAGGCGCCAAACCCTCCCCCTAACCTTGGACAATGGTGTAACAGTACAACATAAGAACAAACTATAAAAATCAATTGAAAAGGGCTTAACACAGCAGATCTATACAAAGCAGACAAACATCTAACAAAAACACACTACACGCGCCTGTAAAACCAAAATCACATGAACCTTGCTTTTATTATAGTTTTTCATCTTCAATTACGAGTGCACATTTTCTGTTAAAATGTTATTTTATTATAATTCAATTTAATTGGATAACTTTATACTCTATCTATATCGACAACACAAATTTTAGGTATCTAAATCGTCGAATTTAAAGTTCGTAGCCAGTTTAATCACAGGATCCTAATCGTAAAGTGTTTATATGAAAACCAAAGCATTTAGTGTGTATATCATTAGTTTTACTTTGTAAACAAAAAATAATCTCTTACATAAAAAAACAACAAAAACTATGTATGCTGACCTTCATATTCCCGTTTGATAATCCGAATCTGTGATACTAAATAACTAACCCATAGGCTGTACTAAAATTCTAAGTTTTCGCTTATATATGGCAAACTGTAAAAAGTGGAAAGATTCATTGATTCATTGATAAAAACAACATAATATATTGGAACATTATGGAACTTGGAAATCAATTTGTATGTCCAGTTATTTTCTTCCATACAGGTTTTTCACATACCCATGCATTTTTCTTAAAAAAAAATGATTATATTGATAAGAATATCATCTAAAATGTTAATTGAGTTAGAAAAAATAACTTATGAATAATTTAATTAATAAAAAGTAGGTTTCGTCAGTTTGCTTCTTTCACATTTATGGAAATGTTTGTATAACACATATAAAGAATTATATATCATATTGATTTGATTTTTTTTTTATAGCTTCAAACTCAAAGACCTCGACTACTAAAGATGTTTTTGAAATAAAAAAAAATCAACTCCTTACCCAAATTGCTGCGAGGCAGAATATTAGTTTGGAGTTTGAAAAATCAAAACACAAACATATATAAAAAAAAAAAACCTGTTCTATTTTGCTTCCTTTATCAGAAATTTGTCTTTGCATCTGGGGCCTGTTTATCGAAACTGTCCTAAGATCGGTCCTAAGAATTTCTTAGGATAGAAATTAGGATAAAGTTAGGACCGACTTACGACATGTCTCAGCATGCACATCGAAGCTATCTTAGGATTATCTTAGCTAAGATGTCCTAACCGCTGTCTAAGTATTCGCGTAAAAGAAAATACAAATAAAAATGAAAAAATGAAAATATTGTATCAAATTTAACCAATAACTATCATTTTAAAAAAAGATAAATAATTAGAAAATAATTATCAGTTTTAAATTAAAGGTGGTAAATACTTTTTTTTATTATAATTGTACATTTAAAATCATAAAACAAAACATAAGACAAAAAAATATAGCTGCGTTTTATTAGAATTGAAACAAACGAATTGTAAATAGTTAAATAAAATATATAATCAGTAAAATCATTATATGCTTTGAGTGAGCTGAATTCGAAGTGTCACGGTTTCATACTTAAAAGTTCAAAGGCAAATCTCGTGCATCTTTCATATGAATACTGAGTACATCAACTATTTATTATTGCAAAAAAACATGCGATGATACGTGCATATAAGATACGAAATTCGAATTCTACCGATGCAAAACTACAGACTCTCCTGGACGACGTGAACAAGAGTAACACTTTGCTTTTTGGTAAATTGTCAAATGTTGCAACAAATGGTGCTGAAAAGAGGGATATGGATTTAATATGAATTAAGGGAACTACCATTTGATTTTTTATGGGGGGGGGGGGTGGGAGGGGGACTAGGATGAAATTTGAAAAAAAAGGCAGGACAGGAGTTTGGGAGTAAAAAATGCAGGATGAGGAACTATGCAAAAAAAAAGACAGGATGAAAATTTACATGTATGTAAAAAAAAGTCAGGATAAACTAATAAAAAAAGGCAGGACCGAATAGAGTGAAAAATAAAAAGGAAGGACAGAGATTACAAAAATAAGCAGAAAAACATTTTTCATCCTTGCTTTCCCCCCCCCCCCCCCGGTCCACCACTCCGTCATAAAAATCAAATGGTAGTTCCCTAAAGTAAATGCAACCAATACAGGCTATATTTGTTTATAAAATAACCATCCTAAATATATCCTAAAGTTAGGACCATCCTAAGACCATCTTAAGACACCTAAATTGGTATCCTAAAGTTAGGACAATTCCTAGGATTTTCCTAAGTTACGACATGTTTGATAAGCCCACTTAGGACTAAGATATGTCCTAAGTTGGTCTTAGGACACGTCCTAATCCTAAGACTGCTTCGATAAACAGGCCCCAGGTCATCTACGGACCCCTCAAAGAGTTATTGCAAGGATTCTTAAACGTGCAGAAAACGTGCAACTATCTCTAAAGTTGAAGTATCGTCTCAAAATGTTACATTAAATGACTATATGTTATAAAATCAAGGAGATGTGGTAGGATTGTCTATGAGACAATATTTTATTAAAAGCTTGGGTTTTTTCTTCTTTGAAGTTCTTATAAAATTGTAAGGGCAAAATGATATTTCATAATGTATGAAGTTACTCTTTCTCTTACAAAACTGCAAATATCAATATTAAATTCTATGATGCTATAGATTCGTCACTAATAATAATTTTGTTAAGATATTAGAAAACTTCCTTTTATAATATAGGATATTAACATGTTAAAGTCATTCTTCCGGTAAAACAAGAAACACATCAAAATGGACAAAAACATGCTTCCAATGTAAGAGTATATCAATATGATATTCGTTCCTTCTGTATGGAAGGGAAATTTATAAAACTACAGATAGTAATGATATACCGGAGTTATTTTACACTTAAATTTTAATATCACAGATGTATGTACACGGAAGCTGAAATAGCTTTTCATGCTGTCGTAAATAACTAGCGTAATAAAGGAGAAATCAGAATATTACAAAGGGTAATTCTGTAACACAACATAAAAAGATATACTAGTTACATGTATTAAAAAGGATAGGTAATAAATCTAATAGTATACCATATATAGGAATACAATTTGATATATAATTCATCTAAAGATTTATAAATCTACCTCTTCTTTCACGTTTAAGAATTACATACCATTGCAATTGTGCAGTTGTGAAGTAAAGGGTTATATTTTATTTAAGTCTCATTCAGTCTCGTTATAATGTAAGTTTCTATCCCTGTGTTACTTTTAATCATTTCCACGTGTTTGGA